TTAATGGAACTGTGAATGCTGGACACCTGTGGAAATTCAGAAAAATCTGAAGGTATTTTCTTAATTGTAACCAACATTTTGGCAGTACAATAAAATCATGTGTCAAGTATTTTGGGGGAAAAAATATTTGCTCTTTACCTTTGCATTTAGGAAGGAGCATTTTAATAATGTTTATTCTTTTTATTCTTGTATTTTAAAATAATTATCAAAATAACTGCATTCAGCTCTCTTAACGATATTGGGTACTATGTGGTTGGTGTAAGAGCTCCCCCTGTAGGTTTTATTTTAAATATCTGCTAAGGAAAATAAAAAGGAAATTCCACTTCTTGTCAGTGCTTTGTAAACATATTCATTTGACCAACATGACCTGATCTTTAAATGTAGGATTTTACAGAAAGAAAGCCATCTATTTTACTAATGGTCAAAATGTGAGAATGTAATGTTATAGATTTATTTATTTTTACAAAAAATTATACTATTAATAGCAGTGTGGTAAACTGCATAACGTCAGCTACCGTTATATAAAGGAACAAAACAGTGTTTTCACTTTTGTAACTGCTTTAATACCTGTAGATATCAGAGCTCTCAATCTACAGAAGTAGGGCTCACACAGCAGTATGAATTTCTCATAAACTGAGTAGTGTTCACATCTTTCAATAAGGACTTCTGCCTTTTATGGCACCCTGATGGGTATGGTACTCATGTGACAACTACAGAAATTCCTGGTAAGGAAGAGACAAGATATTTGGAAGTATTTTATATACAACTATCAACATAATTTAGCAGAGAGAACAAAAAGGAAAATCAGAGCCAAATTATCTACTTGTTTTACCTAGATATCAGCATTTCTAAGTCAAATAAGTAATCCTACAGACCCTGTGATGGAACACGTCATTTTTGGTAGTAATAAGCTACCTATCTATCTGTCTTTAATGCAGTTTTTAAGTCTTAAAAACAAAAAAGAATCTTTGTGGGAAGGAATGTGTTCTCTTAGTTCAGTGTGAAAATCAAAGCCTACTGTACTCTCGTGAAGATCAGGCAGGAGTTACACCTGACGGTTGTTAAGCAATGTGGCAGCTTGCATGGACCTATAGACTTCAGCCTGCATGCAAAACATGTGCATAACACGTGCACCCATCTCACCGTTCACCCTTCTTATGTATGCAGACATGTGTCTTGCTGCCTCACTGGCAAGTGAGGAGGCTTTCTCAGAGCCATGAAATTCCATAAATTCTGTCTTTGGTCCCTTCCTACATGGGCCATTCTCTGCATTCTTAGGAAAGGCAGCAGCACTTCTCTGTCAGATGAAGTATTTCCAAGAAGCCACAACCTGTGTATCCAAATCCTTTGAAAATTACCAGTAACTCTTCATTTTACCTGAGTGGATAGGGAAAAGCAAGAAAATTTCTGTTCCACAATGGATGTGGGAAGTGAGCACAATTCCTGTTCACAGTCCTGCGGCAGCTGTGCTTGGAAGCCGATGGTGAGGTGCTAGTCTTTGTCTCAGGTGCAGGTGGTCAGTGCTGTGCTAGCTATCATATGCCCACCTGCACATAAGCTATTAAACAGCTCTGTTGAGAACACGATTTAGCACAATACTGTATAAGATTCTGTTATATGGGATAACTCTTGAAAATCTGTACTGGTCTTCATAAAGAAATCAACCAGACTAACTGAAGCAGCTGACTGTGGGGGATGAGAGGGGTGATATTATCAGTTTGCTTGAACTTTTCTTTGTAAATAAATTTTTTTAGTATATGTGCTGCCAAAGCAAGCACTTGTAAATAAATATTAATTCGGTATATAGCTAATAAGTATTAGTTAATAATAAACATATCATAACCAGCATTCTGAAAGTTATGTCTGTACCAGTCCCCCATTCAGCATTTCTCATGACATGACAGTGAACATACAGAATTAGAAATATGGAGAATTGAAATTTATAGCACTTTAAAGAGAAATGTTAAGCCCTGTACACAGAATTCAGGGATTGTGAAAGAAATCTTTATGTGCATTCACATCAGCATGAAAATGAGACCTATATACATGCACAGGAGAAAATTGTTTGGTTGCAAGCTAAAGGAATTCTTGTGGTCATTATTGTAATTAGATGCTAATTAAATAGTTTGAGACAATCAGTGAGGGTACTGGCCTGGAAATAATTTTCTTTGTGTAAAGTTTTCATAATTAAAAATATTTTTCTTGAATGTCACTGCTGTTACTCTGGATTTGCAATTTAGAGAAACATTTTGCCTGCAGTCCAATTACAGATGCTCCATATTCTTGAGAAAACAAGAATGGGTCAGAACATGCATATATCATCAAAGTGTCTACGTCTTACTTCACTCTATTCATAAGTGTACTTTGCAAGAAAAAGACATTAGATTTACAAGAGCAAAAAAATATGTATTATTGTGCTTTTGAATACTCTTCCAGCTCATTTGTAAATAGGAAGCCACTGAAAAAATTGAATTGGCTCATGAGCATCTTATATATAATTGCTGCTGCCTTAGTCTGCACAATTAAAAATTCTGTCACTAAGAGTAAAAAAGTTTTAAAAGTTTTCACCATTTTTGCTTCATAGAAATTTGATAGCCATATAAGGCATGCAGATCCTGAAATCTTTTTGCCAGTGACAGCTAGAAAGGAACATTGCAAATTGTAAATAAACATTGCAAATTGAGTTCCTGTAATAGCCATGACTTCTAAAAGATCTGAGTATTTCTAACATTTTAAATAGTACAGTGAAAAATAGGACAGCCATAATCCAATTTTATCTAAATCTGCTACAAGGAAATTATCAATGTAGCGATTACTCCTCTTAGAGATAGACTTGTGGTTAAATAATACTAGCTCTCACAAGAACTAGACAGATTCAGCGTGACTTGCATGAGATAGTGGAGTAGAACTGCATCTCCCTTTCAGAAAGCGTACTCATCACTGAGGAGAAAAAGGTCATCATAACCATCCAAGGTGGCTATAATTTTTTGTAGGCTCCACTTTGCACAAGAACATGGAGGAGTCACCTTCAGGTGGAATAGGCAAATCGATGGCTTCAGGACAGAAGAAACCCTGCTCTCAAAAAAAAAGTTTGGGCATCTAGGAAACTCAGACAGAAACTGAATGTGCTTGTGTGTATATTTGAGGGGCTCCAGGACTTAGGTATTACATGAAGTAAGCAGTAAGTTTGATGACCAAAATTTTGGACTTGGATCTTGAGGATGGAAAACAAATGTGATTCTACACTCCTTACATTTTTTGTAATCCCTGTATTGGTAAGGACAGCTCAAAGGAAATTACTGTATATGTGCTTATTGAGAAAAAGGCTGCAACAGTAAGTGATGGAAACAATGGGGTGGAGGGGGGAAACAGGTGTATCATTGTCTACTGCAATTCATGATACTGAACTTGGGAGTAATGTTCATTGAAAATTTAAGCATATTTGATACAAAAGTGTATAAAAAAATTTTATCTGTAAGGTAAAAGGTAGGACAAATCAGGATAGTAAAAGCCTCCAACAGTCCACATATTATAATGTATTATAAATATATATTATGTTGATCAGTTGATCATTTTGGCTGGACCCTGGATCTAGGTATAAATAATGATCTCTTAGGTCAGAAAGAACCCGTTTCACTAGTGTAAATAAACATTGTCTGCTGTAGGTCTCGAAGCCTTTGGCCTAGATTGGTATTAAGAAATTATTTGACCATATCAGCCCAATCTACTGTTGCTGCAAATAAATTATCAGATAAGTTCCTTTGGTTCCTGTTAGGAAATCCTCACATCTACTTTTATTTCATATATAGGGGAGTCTTTTGAAGTGTAAGTTTAACCACAGGAAATGCAATCACTTTAAAGAATGTTTGCAATCTTTTTATTTCGAAAGCTTCCTTTATATTATTTGTAGGCTAGAATTCTGTAAGTGTGCTGAATTTTTTTTTTTATTTTTTAGCAGTAGTATTCAGAAGTACCTTTAGGTTCAGCATAGTTAGAAAAGTAGGTTCCTCTGGTTATTATAAAAGTCAGTTTTGAGAGGTCTTGCCATTTAGCATCACTATGTAGGAAATGAATAGTAAGAATGTCTGAAAATGAAATCTCTGAAATCCCAGTCAATCTTAACTGCTTACTGCCCTATTGAAGGTACCTTCACAATGAGTGTTGAAAACCTAATTATCAGGGATTACTGGCTAAATCACTTCATTAGCACTTACCAAAATAGTTCTACAGAATAGTTTATAATAAAGAGTGTTTGTACTCGTGTAGGATACGCAGCCTACAAAATTGATATTTAATGTCTGATTTTACAACCAGGCATGAGAATTGGTTCCTGGATCTGGGTAAATTATTTTCTTAGTTTCCTGAGCAATTAATTGAAGGTGTACAATTACTCTTGGTTTCTATTTTTGTTTTCAAGATTGTTACTACTTCTCTGAAAAAAAGTCTTCTGCATCCTATTCTCCTCACAGTGCAGAATCACATAACTACTAATTTAAACATGGGGGGAAAACAAATTGAGGCAGAATATATAGAACTAAAACTGACTTGTTTCTGATGAGAGTGTCTTCAAAGTAGATTGATTATGCCTGATCCAGAATTTCTAACCTCAACTGTTAAAGTGGCCCTGGTGTCTCCTGTGTCTGTGTCAAGACCAAGGGTAACTGAAACTGGATGGCAAAAGAACGCTTCAGTCTCACAGGAAATACTTATCCAAAGCTTTGAAAGAGGAGAAAATAGTCACTTATTTACTCCTTTTCCGAAAATATGCAGAGGAGACAATAAGGACATGTAATCTTACTGAAGACAATCCAGCTTTAGCTGTGTTAAGCCTAGAGCTTTATAGATCTAAAGAATTGTTTGTAAATACAATTCAGTAGAAACTGCTTTATAGTTTGTGAAGCAGATTCTGATGTGTTGCTTGCATCAGTAGGTAAGTGGATTTGATGACCCTTGCATACTTCTAGTCTCTTTCCTAACTAAATTATTCTCTTTTGCTGCAGCCCAGAAGATGGTGAAATTCATCCTGAAATCTGTAGGCTATACATCCAGTTGCAGTGTTGCTTAGAAATGTACACAACAGAAATGCTGAAGTCCATATGTCTGCTAGGATCACTGCAGTTTCATCGGAAAGGTATTGAATTGCACAAATATTCAGATGCTGATTTTGAAAAAAAAACCAGTATTTTACAGCAATCTGGGTATCATGAAAGACAAAGCACTGTTTTGGCTGGCGTAGAGTTAATTTTATCAACAGTAGCTAGCAAGGGACTATGTTTTGGATTTGTGCTGGAAACAGGATTGATAGCACGGGGGTGTTTTAGCTATTGCTGAACAGTGCTTGCTGTCAAGGCCTTTTCTGCCCCTCACTCAAACCCACCAGTGAGAAGGCTGGGGGTGCACAAGGTGTTGGGAGGGGACACAGCTGGGACAGCTGACCCCACTGACCCAAGGGATATCCCAGATCATATGGCATTGTGCTCAACATATGAAGCGGGGGGAAGATAAAGAAATGGGAGGACATTCAAAGGATGGCATTTGTCTTCCCGAGTCATCCTTACACATGGTGTAGCCCTTCTTTCCTGGGGATGGCTGAACACCTGCCTGCCAATAGGAAGTGGTGGATGAATTCCTTATTTTGTTTTGCTTGCATGCACAGCAGAGTCTTCTGAGATATTAAACTGTCTGTTTAATATCTACAAGTTCTCTCACTTTTTCAGTAGACTCCCTATCCCACTAGGGGTGAGCAATTGAGCAGCTCTGTGGGGCTTTGTTGCCAACCAGTGTTAAACCACAACAAGCACCAAACTATAAAATGAACTATACCTATATATATGTTTTCAGCTACTAAAAAAGGGCTCTTTTTCTGTTTATCATTATTCTTGCAGAAGCGTGTCGTATCAGGCATGTATCACTAATGTCCTTGCGGTTTAGAAGTCTGAATTTTTTTTAAAAAAAGAGTAGTCCCTGAAGTTTTAGCTGTCATTAGTCAGACCAGTGGGCAAGCTTAGTAATTTTATTAGAGGTATTTGCTGGGTATAATATTTGAGGTCAAATGTTTGATAGAGCTGTATGGCATGGTTTTAGTACTAAACTGATTCCTTACTATCTCTGTTTATTTATCCAGCAATGTTATTTTATAGTTGTCTGAGTTTTGGCCAGGACAAGGTTAATTTTTTTTGCAATAGCTGGGAGGCATCAGGACCTTAATGTTATTCAGTACCACCTCATGTCACTGCCAGGGGTAGGGGAAAGGGACTCTCGGGCTTATGTTGAGGAGAACATGGCTTCTGCTCAAAAAACATGGCAGGGAGCAGGGAGTCATTCACTTCACTTGTCTTGGGGTTGGTGGTGAGCATTTTTGCATGTGAATCACCCTCTCTTTTTCATACTTTTCTTAATAGTATTGTTGCTGTTCCCGTCCATTTTCTTATCTCATTGCTGTTTCCAGTAAATTGTTCTTATTTCAGTCTGTGAATTTCACTTTTTGTGCCTTGGTTTCTCAACTCCATTCCACCTCATCAGGGAGGGGAAAGAGAAGGGGAAGAGAGAGAGAGCGGTGTGTGATTTGGCAGAGTCTCAGTGGGGTCACTGAACCACAACAATAACAGAAGACTGATAAGTGTCATTAAAAAGCTGCCCACTTTTATAGAAGTAGTTAGTAGATTTGGAACTGAAATCTACCTTGCAGAGTATTTTTACACACAGGGGAGATGTCCTCACTTCAGTGAAAATGCATCTCTAATGATTTCATATTTGATTAGCCTCCTGAAAGGAAGATGTAGAAATGCTGATAATTTACTGGATAGTTTACTTAGTAACTTCATTGATCAGTGATGGCACACGCTGATTAGGACTGTATCTGTTCTGATTGTAACTACTCTTTCCCTAGATAATATCTCAGCAGAATATACTAGGTAAAGACAAGACAAAACTCTGTTATGAACTGTGATAAAGGCCTTGTAATGAACCTTGTGAATTTCCTGTCACACCGAAAGGTCCTGTAGTGTAATTTTTTTGCATTGAGCCAGGGATATTTGGTATTTTTGTTATGGAAGTAAGAATGAGAGGTTTATAACTGCTTAACTGAGCTTCTCAGTTATTTATTTCAAGTCAAAATAAATCTATAGAACAAGGAGAGTTAACAGCTATTGTATAACAAGATGCCAGTAGCTTTCACAATGAATCATCATTTTTTAGGACAGATTTTACTACATTTCTTAGCGCTGGTTACAGTTGTCAAACCATCTTCTGTAACTGCTGAAAGAAAATAGCTTGAAGTGACTTGAGTAACCCCAACATGTCTTGTTTCTCCCTTTTGCTTCTGGACAGAATCTACATTAATAACTTAAACTAAACAACAAACTGTTAGAAGTCTAAAGTTGGATGAGTTGCAGTTTAGTTCCTATCTGGCAGTACTTTTGATATACACTAGTTCCTCAACCTGCTTGGTTGCTATTCTGCCATTGCTAAACCGAGTGACTTTTGTCCTGTATCCATGTAAAGATAAACACAGTAACTTGGCTCCAAGCTTCTGGGACATCCTTTGAAAAAAAACTCATAACAGGCAAAAATTTTATGATGACAGGGATTCAAATAATTTGAATAGCCAACAGAACATTGCTCTTTTGTATTAAATACCTGGTATTTGCAACACCTAAAAGTATTGTAAAGACATCATGCAATAAGGGAAATTCCATTTCTGTATTAACTATTTTTTCACAGTGAAGGTAGCTGTATGCTAGAGAGGCACCAAAAGGGGCTGTGAAATATCCATTCATGGAGATACTGTTAACTCAAATAAATCTGAACAGTCTGATGCAGGTTGACTCTGCTTTCAGTAAGGTGTTAGACTAGATGACTTTGCAACCTATTTATTCTGTGTTCTGATAAAACATAAAGTTTTCAAAGGAGTATAATGAGCCCATACCTTTGTTTAATTTCTTTACTTACAGAGAGTGATACTGCAGTGTAGGCAAAGTGCATAAATTTATCTCTAGGGAGGAAAGAGACAATAATTTCACCGTTATAAAATATATTGTGATATTGCTAGTATATAACTTTTTTAGTTTTTCACCAGTTTTTCATCATCTGAATGACCATATTAAAAAAATAAATTCTTGTGTATTAAGAGTACTACCCCTATAGTCTTTGTTTAATCCATAAATGTGTATGTCTGATGTTCTTGCTGTATCTTGAAGAGCATTTCTGAAGATAATATTTTATATTGGGATGTAATATTTTCTAGTCCTCTTACCTGTTGGACAAGTTGTTTGTTAGGTTTTTAAGTCTCCGATAAGATTTCACTAATTTATGTTCTTACTCAGGAGCCAGCAGAGGATCAAGTAGAATGACATGCAGACTGTCCTTGGCAACCTGTAGCTTATATATAATAATTATGGGTATTGGTACCTTAATCAAAATTCATCAAACAAATTATAGAACTGATAAAGCTAAGGCAGTGGGCTGATGCTCTTTTCCCAAGAGAAGCTCAGCCAGTGGTCCCTACTAGGAAACAGATGCTCTTAATGAAACACAACACAACAATTTGAGGGCTGAGCTCTGTGTCTTTTCATCTGTTACAGCACAGATCTTCTCATCTCTCCTTATCTTTCTTTACTACTGAACAGATATTCCTTTATTTACTGTATAGTGTGTATCAAGCTTCCTGTACAGAAATTTCTTGAATATTTACAATGCAAGATTAACTTACTGCTGTCATAGAACCTTTACTAGAAAAATCAGATATTCTGTTATTTCTTTGAAATTTAACTGTCGCAGTGGGGCCAAAAGACATTAATATTTGCAGCTGTGTTATACAGTAAGTAAACTGAGGTAAGTGCTCTTTAAGAATTATTTTTTTAAAAATACATACGCCACAAAAGCCCAGTTTTGAAAATATACTATCATTCAACAGTTCGACATTCAGAAAGTTTGCAAGGGGCACAAGGAATCATGCCCAAATATCCTTAATTCAAGATTTTTGTAGTTACTAAGCTTTTGGTTACCTGATCATATATTTTGTTACTCCTTTCCACAATCCCAAGATTCCTGGCTAACTAATACACGTATTCTACTTGAACACACATCTTTCTTTTATCCTAATTGTTTAGTATAATACATTGTATTTATTGCACAGAATTCTCTTCTAAAGGCAGAATCTTTCTATTCCTCAGACCTTGCTCAGTAACTCACACACTAATAGGTATATCTTCAGAACTGCATAAATAGCAATTTCTCCCCATTGTAAAGAGACATTAAGCTAAAAATGCTAATTTAGAATTAGAATTAGAATTTAATGGAAAGTAATATACTCTGAAGAAACTTAGGTACCTCTCTGAAGCATTTACAAAATTCAGTTGTCATTCATTTAAATGTTGTATGTGTACCGATTGACAATTTTAATTAAATAAACAAATTCTGCTGTAGCTATCAAGATCTTAGAAATTGTAGGCCTACTTTCTGTCCACGGAAGCTGCTGGATGTGATTATCATTTTTCAAAATTAACATGGAGGTTGTCAAGGTTGCACATTGAGAAAATCAAGGACTGCCTCAGAGTTTGTAAGTGCACTTCAGCATACATTGTGTACACAGCCACAAATACTTTGGGGTCAAAGGTTTTCATTGCATTTTTAATATGCAAGCATAACAGATAAAAAATCTTTACTACTTCATATATCCACAACAGTAATTCCTTTCATTGTTAGGAACTGTAAAACGTTATTATAATAATGGAATAACGTGTCATTGTGGAAGTGCACACTACCAAAGTTTAATGTCTGTACATGTTTACATAGAAACCAGGAATTTCTTAGGATCATCTACAGATCTAGTTGACTTGTTGGGTTATATAATTGCTTATATCAGAAAATATTTTTTAAACCCTAGATTGTATATTGCGATATTGTATATTGTATATTAGCTAGTTGTGCAGCATTTGAGCACTTTAATGTTGAAGAGAGCAAGCCCATATAACAAATCAAAGGCAAGATGGGACAATTAAAATGAACTGGAGGTGTTTTCCAGAGTTCAAAACATGCTGTAAAAATAAAGCTACATTGTCAAAGAAGTACAAGGTGAAACTGGTAGCTGTTTATTCTGAGTTTTAAAAGAATAAGTCTCTGCTCATATGTAGTTACAGGAATATATTATTCTTATGGTCCAGAACCTGTTCAACCTGCTATATTGTGTGTATTCTTTAATAATAAGTCAGTGAGACAGTCTCCAAGTTCCACAGGTCCCAAGTGTAAGTCAAGAATTAAGTACATCAGACTATTAACTATATTTGTCAAATACTTTTTTTACCTCCTACACAATTCTTTCCTATTCCCCTTTTAGGTTCTCCTGTTCATGTACTTAAGCTGTGATTTATAGCTTGCACATTTTTCCTTAGTTGCTAAGTTAGAAACCTGATGTAAATGCTGCCTTCATTTTGAGAGAGGGATTCTTTCAACTTTGTTAAATGCAGATATTCCCTTCAAAGATCTTTCTAGTTCCTCTGCAGTGAAATCCAACTAGCTCCAAGGCACATATAATAAGGGTTTTTTTCTTTTAATTTTTTTCATTCATCACAGTTTCTGTGCAAATTAGGTGATGACTAAGAGTTGGTGGATAGGGTAGCATGACAGAGGTCACCACAGAAGCAGTAAGAGGCACAACAAGTAAGACACATAAAACACTGTGGTCACAGGTTATATATGAAACCTTGCTGAACTGATAATTTTCTGCTCTTCTATTTACCCTCACTCAAGTTTGATCCTCAGCATTATTTAATTGAATTAATTTAATTTCATACCAAAGTATTTTCTGCTTCTTAAAGTGAAGGGGAAAAAAAGAGAATAACTACTGGTAAGAAAAGGAAGAATACATCATTGCAACTGAAATTATTGAAAAATCTTTCCACTGACTAAGTTGAAAGTCAAAGTTAGGGTTTACATCCATTCATAAGTGTGTATTACAAAAGATATCCTTACCTACTAGTGGAGGGATGAGAAGATTAAAGAGCTTTTGTTTCTCTGTAGGCTGTGACATGTGGTAGGAATGTTAAGCATGTCACACATTATTCAAGAAAAGCCTTTATTATTAGTTGACTATTTAATTGTTTTCAAGTGACTGAGCATATGATCTGAAATTCAAGAAAGACTTCATGAATTGCTCACAATACAACAGAATTACTGGTAAGGAGCTATTCTCAGTGGAAAAGAGATCTGTGCGGTTCATTCTGCTAAATCTGCAAGAGCTTGCCTTTGTGCTAACAAAAAGAACGTTTCAGTCTCAGTGCTTCTGTTCTCAAATTGTGAAAAAGAATCTTTACTATTATTTCACCTAGTGCTTTCATCTGGTGTTATTGTTTCTTTTGAAACACCTTTCACATCCCTGAAGGATGCATCTATAGACAGGGTTGTTCTTGACAGTATGTTGCCAAAGGTCAGGTCAGAGTTCCACCATTGCACTTCAAAATAATGGGACAATTCATTAATATCCAGTTTCAGCCTTGTGATATTGGTGGCAAATTAGGTGCTTTACATGAAACCTCTTTTATGAAAAAGCAAAAAGTGAGATATTGGTAACTTTATGTTTTGTTATGGGCTTACTGTAATGGGAAAAAATAACAAATAATGAAGCTTATATGAATGACCACTGAAAACTGTACAATAAGAACTACCTTAAAATAACAGTAGAAGCTTCAGTTAAGAACAAGAAAATTTTAAGTTATACCTACAGGGTGATACAGAGAAAAACATGTAATCTGGGAAGTAGGCTTAGTCTGCTGTTCCACAAGCAACTGAGTCAGCATTCAGCATTGTAGCTTGTAACCAACAGGAAGGTCTTGATTCCTTCCTCTCTGTCTCCCCTCCCTTACAGTGCCTTCACTGCTTACTCCCTCTATTTCTGGCCATATGATCTTCCTCTGGCACTTGCTCTTGAACATGTAAGGTTCTTGACTGATCTGACTTAAACCACTTCATCAGAAAACTTCACATTTTATTTTTCATTTGGGTAATCTTCTACCATTTGATGGGCTAAAGTGGATCACAGAAGGACTTGGCAAAGCCCAAGTTAGCAGGGGATGCCAAAGTAAGCAGCAAAGAAAGGACACAGCATACCGTTCTTTTATGGAGGGTAAACTTATTATATCAGGTCATGCACCCTCTTAGATTCAGTTAGATAACTTAGTTGGAAGGAAAGCTGGGAAAAGGGCTTCCTACTGGCTTTAAAGACTAATGAAAACATGAAGCAAGTGTCTTCTGCAGCATAAGTAACATCTAGTTTGACATTTCAGGCAAGTAGCTAAGAACAACTTTTTTTTTCTTTTTAGCAAAGGAATAATTTACCTGAATACAAGAGTTTAGAGAACTTACCCCAAAAAATTATCTTGAAATCCAGGAATTTTTAGATTTTAAAAAAGAAGGTTACATGCCTGATAGCAGGAATACTTGTGATGTGGAAGAGCATATAGCATGGTATGCAGCCTTGGTCTCTAGTGTCCCAGGAAAATGCGCTATGTCAGCACTGCTCTACTAGCTGGTCTTGTTCTTCATGTTCTTTACTAAGCCTTTCAGGAACTACTTAGGTGTGTCCTGATGTAAAAATTTTTCAAATTACAAAAATTCTGAAATGAAAGACATTTCCTACTCAATGTTACGTACTAGGGGTTTAAACATTGACATTTTTTCCTCTACTTTTAGAAAGTTTTATTTGTTACTTTCTGAGATTGTTTATTCCATTTCCTGAGAGAACTCAGGGGAAAAAATCTGACTTCTTAATAACTTGTCTGGGATGCGCTGCAATGTGAATTTTTTCCTTTAAATGTACTTGATGCCAGAGCTGTACTTGCCACTACAGAAGAGGAACACTATCAGACAGTCCAGAAGAGATTTGCAAGGATACCAAAATATTCCACCAATGCTTAACTCTCTTGCATACTCTGCTATCACAATCCATACCCTTTATCCCATCGTCTCCCTGACAAAAGCCCTGGAAGATCTGTCATGAAGCCCCCATTCAATTTCAACACTGAATTTTGTTTTCATACAATGAGCATGAATTAGGTAAGCATCAACATGGAAACTCAGAATACAATGCATTTGAGCTGTGAGTGGTGGCAGCTGTGTAGTCATTTTAAATGACAAAGTACAAAATTTCACATATTTGTCTTTTGTTTTCCCTCGGTATTGCTGTAGTACTAGGAGACATGGATTGCAGTGTTCTTTAGTGTCAAAGTTTCTGAAGTTGTTTCCAGAATGTGTGTTGTAGTTTCCGTACTTACTTTGTTCTGTTTTGTCCTCTGGCTCTTAATCTGTGTTGCATGTGAGCCACTGGAGTTTAACTAAACCCCTTGAAATCGGTAAGAGTAACATATGACAGCATTCTGGTGTGGTCTGTTCTCTTTCTGAACAGTTCTTGCATTCAGTACTCTTTCTATCCATTTTTATTGTGCAAAATCAACCTCAAGGCATCAATGATATAATCTGAGTATCCATTTTAATCAATAAATAATGGGGATACATGTTTGTTTAAATATTTTAAAGGAAAAGAACCTTGTGGCCCACCCAAGATTCTAGATATTAAAGTGGAAGAGAGTTCTGAAGTACCTATTTTAGAAGACATGTCATCACCAACAGATGTTCAACAGCATCTATGGCAGGTTTCCACAGATATTGAAAACACTGAAAGGTATGTGTGGCACTTCATTACTGAACAAAATAAAATTCCATCTAGGGTTTATTTAGTCTTTTTTAATTTGACAGACAGTGTTGCTACTATAAAAAGTATAAGTAAATCAAATAACCTCTTAACATTTCTGTTACATTTAACATAATTCAGAACAACTTCTAAAAGAAAGGCTAAGACGAGTGACATGCTTTATTAGGCTAATTACCAGAAGGTAACTGTCAAAAAAAGAGGGCAAAATTATATTGCTGGTGGGCCAGGCTCTCTAAAAGAAGCAGCTTTTGCCTCATCTTGAGTGGTTTCAGATTTTGTACCTGAAATCTGCTGGACTCCTGTTCTGCGTTCCTAATTCAAAAGCACTGAATCTAGTTCATTTTTGCCCATAATGTTGAGTGCAAAAGCCTTAGGAGGGGAGAGGAACATAATCCGTAGGTTACCCTCTTAACTATGCAGTTGAAAAACGAAAATGAGACCCTTTAGTAGAGAGTAACCTTGATGGCCAACATTTCTTTGCAAAAATTCCTATTTCGAGGGCTTTGCATATTAATCTGATGCTGAGATTTGAATGGTTATCATGCTTATTTACATAAAACAAAGTTCTTTTCTACTGAGAACATAACTTGGAGAATAGAACTGAGCAATTTTTTACTAGTCACATGGCTTCATTTCTAAGAACTATTTTATATGTAGATGAATGAAGCAAGACCACATTGGTTTTAAATCCTGAAAGCATTAAGACATTACAAGCTTGCACACAGAATTGCTGGTCTGCTGTCTACCAGTAAAACAAGAACCTTTTTGAAATGTCTGGCCACATTCAAAACATATCCTTATGTAGGTTGCTTTGGAGATAATATTTTGTTATCATATTTTCCATCATCTGCCTTTCAGAAAAACTAATGCCAGAGTCCTCCTAAGATAGGTGGGAGTGACAGCCCTGTTTTTTAAATTGCCATTTAATGTGCAGGGAACTGAAGTATCATGGATTAGCTACATATATTATAATTTTCTTCTAAACAGTGAAACACATTCATGGCATAAGCTACAAGATGTTGACAAGGAGTACAAAGTTGACATTAGTACTAGCTTGTGATAATTTTATGGAATATTGTGTATTTTGTCACTGGGATCACATCATGCCCACCAAGTCATTTAATAACTCAAGTGTCAGAATAGATCATAAATTTGAATCAGAAACAACTAGTTTAGTATCAGGGTAGTGTGAAAGTGCTCCCTTATTAAATCTATTGCCCTTTCTTTTGGTATACATCTTCTGATATATGTTTGGAAACCGAATGCTTGCCCAATTGATTGTTGTATTTCATCATCGTGGCTAGGCTTTGCGAACGAAGATTTAGGAAGGCTCTACCCACGTTTGTTATAAGACTGTTGTATTTATTGCTCCATTATTTCAGCATATATAAAGCTATACTGTGAGCCACTCCCCATTCAGTCTTCAACTGCCGTTCTATTGTCTCTCTTTTAACTGTTGTATCCACAGAGATATGAGAGAAATGAAAAACCTTTTAAGCAAACTCAGGGAGACTATGCCTTTACCACTGAAAAATCAAGGTAGGTTTTAATTTTCTTCATGTAAGGAAAATTACGATAATTAAAGGTTTTGACTTCTGTTAAATACAAAAAATCTAGGAGTTTTTCATAGCAATAACAAGAAGAAAAGTCTAGGCAAAGTCTCTTCCCTACTGATTCATTGGAGCCCAAATTTAGTATGTGGTCTTTGGCCTCTCGAGTTTCACATGCGTATTCTGGAATTTTATAGAAACAGCATCTATACATAAAATAATAGACATTTCCTGGTGACATGAAGGCAGAAGCACAACTAATTCCCTGTGTAAGGAGTTCTTCTTTTTCAAAGGCAATGAAGGTCTAAAGGGATCCTACTGAGTGATGGCATTTGCCTCACCCCTGCAAGGCTTGTATGTTCTGTGACATGCCACTGACTCTATGCAGAAAAGCTACTTGCTTTGAGATTGTTAACAGTTGCTTTTCCCAGTAGCCAGCTGTAAGGATCTCCAGCCTATGCATGTATTTAGCGATGGGCCTTTGTGTTGTTGTCCAGCAGTGTTAAATACTTCACATCTGCAGGAACTCTCTTTGTTCGTGAGAATGACATTAAAAAGATAATGGTTTCCCTTTTTGATTTCTTCTTGATAAATGGGTATTTCTTAAAGGCCATGTAGTTTTGCACAGTGGCAGCCAATGACGTATGCCTAATGTGTCCCAGATCTTGTCCCAAGTAACTAAACAGTCTTGCATTCATCGTAATACAGTAATAGATGAATATGAAATAATTGGGTTCATTATACAAATAGGAGTTCATGGCAGGATGGCTTGATGGAAAACCATGTGAAAGGAAAAAGGCAATTGCTTATCATACATGATACGTATTTACCACTGTAGAGCCTGGAAAAGTGACAAAAAGTCTATGCCTATCCTAGAAGAAAGGAGTGTGCTGGAAATAAGGAAGGAAAAGACAAATTGAGGGGATGTAAAGCATAGAGAACCTGAGTTCAGAACAGAGATAAAGGTGCACAGAATTCTTCTCTGCTGCCTGGTGTCCAGACTGCCCCTCAACACTGATCAGAATATCACTGACCACCTGTGCAGCAGGATAGGAAACATCCTAGAGTTTAAAAGCTCTGAGTCATGCTCCAGAATCAGGTAATCCTAAATGGTGTTTTTGCAGCTCTCACAGTCTCCAACTGTGATGATAGTTTACAGATGACCTCTGAGAATGGATGCCTCAGGAATGGACAGTCATACTCATTATTCATACAGTACTTAAAATTTTTGAAATAATCCAAGACCTGTAATTAATGAAAGCTACATAACAGTACAAGTAAATAGAAAAAACCAACATTACAGATAATTAATATGGTCTGGACTGCAATTTTGATATTTATATGAATCACAACTATTGATTATGAGATGAATGAATGCCATTTAATGTGTTGATCTTTGCAAATGACCAATCCTGCTCTCAGTAAATGAGTATTTTGCTGTTGGTTTCGGTGACAGCCAGAATGGAGTTAAGATGGCAAGCTCACAAAAGTTTTGCATAATGTTACTGACTGCTCACAGACCAGGTTTTTATGTATGAAATTCTCTGAAGTGACAGCAGGAAAATTACTGTTGTAGTTTGTAAGACTGAGTCACAGTATTAAATGATCTCTTAGCTATGTTCTTGTAGTGCAGTATTTGTGTTACAGTAGTGTCTATACTCTACAATCAAACCACATCACTGATGTAACCAGAATAGGAATATGATGAGGCATAGATCTTAGCCTGAAACCACACTTGAAGATGGCTCAAATTCAAAGTGAACTCTAAATTTGTGAGGTAGCTCACTGACACTGTGTGAGTTAATCTATAGGCACTAATACATACATTTTGTATTAATTTAGAAGGAATTAATATAAAAGGTAGAAAGCTAACAAGTGGTAACTTTCCTAGGCAAATGTTTTTGTATCTCGATGTGCCAAGAAGTTCCTGTGTTCCAGTTTTAAATGGAAATTCTCCCAGTATGCACAAATGGCCACTCAATAGTGGAGATTTTTATGTTTAAATTAAGCCAGAATTTTACTTTAGGATTGACATTTCCAAACTTGCATGTCTGCAAGATCTCAAGCTACTTATACATTATTAATCCAGGCAGGAATATTGTGGCTCAGGTATCCCAGCGGTGAAGGTGTGATTTCATTTAGGTTTCTTCACTGAACTAGTGTTCTTGCCAAAATGTCTGTTGTATTATTATTATGGAGATCCCGTTAATTAGCATTGTAAGACTTAAATACAAATATTGGATTATTATTATTTGCTCTATGCCTTGAACTATGGGACCTATTACATCATGGAAAGGGTTCTCAAGGATTAGAATAGGCTGCCTATAGAGGTGGTGAAGTCACCATCCCTAGAGGTGAAATGACTGTGCATGGCACTTAGGGCTAATTGACTAATTGACAAGGATTGATCAAAGGTTGGGCTCGATCTCAAAGGACTTTTCCAACCTAAATGGTTCTGTGATTCTGAGATATGTAGGTGCTGTTAGGACACATAAATGATATAATCTCTTTTGTGCATTTACATGCTTGTGTTATAATGTGGGATTTTTCATCACAGATGATAGCAGCCTCCTAAACTTGACTCCATATCCATTGGTAAGACGACGGAAGCGAAGATTCTTTGGATTGTGTTGTCTTGTCTCAAGTTAGAAGATTAAGCACAGAAGCACCAAGAAGATCATGACTTTAATTAAACCACTGTTATTTGACCACTGAAAAGATGAACATTGCTCCTCTTGATTATAAAGTACATTTTCTACACTACACTATTCATTTTGCTCTTCTGCTCCCTCCTCATCTTCAAATAAGGGATTTCACAGTGTAAAATTATGGTGATCAAAAACAGCTGTGGAATAGATCTAGCATATTTAAAACTTTTTAAAGTATGTTTTGCATGCTTACTTTCAATTGCTCAAAGAAGACACATGAATTATGGTTCATAGATAATTTTAAGAGGTTTTTTTAATTGTTTGAATTGCTGCTAAAAGTTTGTGCATAGTACAGTATTCTTAGTATCATAATGAAATATTTGGTCATACTCTTAACAGTCTTTAAGCATAGAAAACTATTTAACAGCAAAAGTATTAAAGTTCTAAAACATTCAAACCATATTGTAACAGAATTTGCCAAAATCTCCAGTTGCTTTTTGTGCTCACATTTATATTTAGTCTTCCAATATATCTCAATTTAAAAGCTTCATAGAAAAGTATCTTAATTTATGATACACAAATCATAAATGAAAATAGTTAGGACTGTAAATACAGAGGAATCATAATAACTGCATACTGTACAATGCATAGAAGCAACAGATTTCCTTTTAAGTCAATAGTATATCTACAAGCATTTGGAAAAAATAAATAATTTATTAAAAGGAGGTATTAAAATAAACAATGTAAAACACAACACCAACCCATTTTGTTTCCAATAGAATTCAAAGCATGGTGTCTGCATATCACTAAGTCTAAAACTTATAAGGCATGCCAGAATCATCTGAGACTGTAAGATATTAAACAATTTACATTGTTAATAAAGTTTTTTATTTAATTAAATATTGTTATGTTTCTAGTTGTATTGCTGGACTGTGTTTTGCTAATTTTGCTGTCAGAGTACTACACAAAGTTTTGATAATATTTCCATTTCAAGAAGTATGTTTAGAAAGATAAAAAATATGGAGCATATATAAATACTAAAATGACAGCTAGTAGAAGCAGTAGATATGAATAGGTAGACTCAATGTACTGATATTTCAAGATGATAGGCAAGACACCACAAATAAACTTGTGCTAGACTGCAACACTATGAAAGCCATAGCAATCTGTCATTACTGTGCACGTCAGCATACCCTTGTAGTCAATAATAGTGACTCATAGCCCTTTATTCCACCATGACCCAGCATGTCAAAAGAACAAAACAAAAGTTTAATGCTGGTAAGGAGGTTGTTGTGTCCTTGCCACAGGAAACACCCATACAGTTAAATTCATTGTCAGTTTTTTGGTGGGATATTAGTACACCCCCTAAAGCAGTTTGTTAGGGATAGCTGTTCACTGAACTGTATCTGGCAACTAAAAAGTTTGATCTGACCCATTTTTCTACCAAGTTTTTCTCCTGCTGTTTGCTGAGAAAGGGTGGAAAAGCCCACACTGTCAGAAATATTAACATACTGTTTATAGCAAAGACCAAAAATTCAGATCTAATTACCAGGAACAGAAGGCAGGACTTTTTCTTCCAGAAGAGCCACACCACTCCCAGATTAGACATTCATGTAACTGAGCTTCCAGCATTTCTCTGGAAGGATATTTTTCTTGTCAGTCAGATAAAGCAGAGTCTTTTAGTTTTTTCCAGGTTGGACTGGTCTGTTCACCTTTCACTCCCCCAGAGAGAAAATCCATTTTTGAATAATCAGGCCAAGAAATAAATATTTTAAATGCAATGAGGACAAATAAATTTAAAATGCCCTTATGGAACTTGTGAGTTTCCAAAATTAATTCCATCTGAATTTAGCATGGCTAAATTCTTTAAATAGCACAGAAACAGGTAACTGCAATGTGTTTGAAGATTTCAGGTCCTGAACTATTCTTAAGCATACATATTCTTAAGCACCTAAACTGGGGAGATCCCTACGCACTCACGAAACTGTGTGCTTGTGAGAACAAACGCATTTTTAAGAAGAATGGAATTAAAATCCATAGCACAGTATTTTTTCAAAGTTAATTCTTTGAAGTCTTCTCCACATTTCTCATTAACATTGTCCTCATTAATCAGAGCTGTTTTCTGTAATAGGCAGCACTGACATGTTTTCATTAGGAGTCTCAAACCAAGATATGCTCCATGACTCCATCCCCACAGGTACGCTAGGTTTTGCAAGTGTTAAAACTTTGGAAAAACAACTCCTGATGTCTAATGGATATTAAAAATATTGTCTAGGAATACAATCAGTAGTTACAATTAACCAATTAACTTTTGTTCATAAGTGAAAAAGACATTAATGCCAAAAATAAGGGGTATGAATGCAAGACTGAATATGCAGCGATACCATGAGAGAGGAAGGGAGAAAGAAACTTTTACACAAGACTTAGAAGTCTTGCAATATTGGTACACAGAGAGAAATACCCATAGGTGGTCAGAGTGATACCTTTTTTCAACAATTAATTTGAAAGGAAGATGGGCAGAGTAAGCAGTAATGTGTCTAGCTGAGTACCTGCTCACACATCATCACACAGAATTTAACATAACAAATTATGTGACAGCTTATATCTCTGTATTTTAACCATGCCTGTTGGAATGGAATATACATTAATTAGACAAATGTATAAACATTTTAATTCATTTTACAAATCTTGACATCAGTCATATCACAGTGAGTTGCACAACTTGATCAGATTCTGTGATGGATAGACTTGCATTGCAGTGTATTGAAGTGTACAGTAATATGTGCATCCTAGTACCTTTTGTTATTCTGGAAAATTCAGCAGTGTCTTTTCTTCCTGAATTAAAGACTATTAAAATTTCAGTCTTTACTCATTTTGAAGCCTTTCTATACTTCTAAGCAATTAAGCAGCTTATCTCAAGCCTTTCGTCTTTATTATACCTTCTACTAATCCTAATGGACACATGCTGTAATTCCCAAGCTTTATGGCCACTTAAGGAACACTGATGATCAAGGGTGAATGGAATGTCCTCAGTTACCTTTTAACAGATAGTGGCGTGAACCAAGGCCTGGTAAGTATCTGAATTGAAGAGGTGTTAAGGGATAAGTTGGTTTAGTTAGGAATGCAGAGCACTAAAATTCAAAAGGCAACAAACTCTTTTTAAGCCGCAGAACATCAGGTCGGTAAAAGAAAGTTAATGATATTACTACAATTTAGTTTAATGGAACAGGGCATCAAAGTTTAAATGCTCCCACAATAAAATGATATGCAAATCACTTAAGAGATGATTTACAACCATTCTTTTATTTGTTTATTTTCCAAGTATTACCAAAAAAAAAAAAAAAGACAACTTCACATTGGTGACCTCCTGAACGCATGGAAACAAGCAAGTTAGGGAGAATACAGAGGAAAGCAATAATTGCCTTCTAAAGGTTTGAACAGTTTAGTTGAAAATGTTATAGGTTAAAGGCACCATAATTCTTTTGCAGGGTAGGAAACAAGAAGCAAAAATTCCCGTACCTACCAAATATGACAAGTTCCACTAAGTCTTTTTTTACTAAAACCCTGTGCAGCTCCAGGTTTTCAGATATTTCATGTCATAAAAAATAACAGTCTGAGAAGTCAAATATATATATTCAGTGTAAAGTCTAAATTTTTCAGAGTAGAAGCAAAATACAAGCATACAGAAGTAGAGAGCAAATACATATTGCAGGCTGCATGCTAACCCAATATGAAAAATTAGCATGCAAAATCTGCATCTTAACTTATACAATACGTACAAGATTGTCCCTGTTAACTGTTCATCCCATAGCAGGCTTATTTTGGATGAGATACAATATAGAGCCATTCATTTTTCAATATAAGGTAAGCAGATGAGTATAAATTAAAGGACTTTGACAAGTTTGAAGAGCTGTTTAGACTGTGGCAATGGACTACTATAAGAGATGTTTACTACATAGCCCAAAATTTATTGTCTTTGAAGCAGGTATAGAGACTCCACAGACATCAAGACAGAAAATCAGTGGGAATACAGTAAACTAGACAAAAATATAAAGATATGAGAAATATAACAGAAAACACAACAAGCTTAATGGAATATTTTTGAGAGCACTGTGGTGGGTTGACCTTGGCTGCCCACCAGATGCCCACCAAAGTTGATATATCGCTCCCCCTCCTTAACTGGACAGGGGGAGAAAAGGATGATGAAAGGCTCGTGGGTTGAGGACACTGAGATCGCTCAACAATTTGGTTATCATCATGGGCAAAACCAAGTTGACTCAGGAAAATTAAGTTATTGCCAATTAACAGTGGAGTAGGATAAGAAGAAATAAGAACAGATCTAAATCCACCTTTCCCTCACCCCTCCCTTTTCCCCAGGCTCAACTTCACTCCTGGTTTCTCTAGCTTTTTCCCCCAAGCTGCACAGGGGGATGGAGAATGGAGGTTGTGGTCAGTTCATCAGGCATTCGTTGTCTGTGCCATCCCTTCCTCCTCACACTCCTTCCCTGCTCCAACGTGGGATCTTCCCGTGGGACACAGTCCTCCATGAAATTCTCTTACACGAGTCTTTCCCACAGCCTGCAGTTCTTCATGAACTGCTCCAGCTTGGGCTCCTCTCTCCATGGGGCCAAAAGTTCTACCAGGAGCCTGCTCCAGCACCATCTTTTCACAGGATCACAGCATCCTTTGGGCACATCCACCTGCTCTAACACAGGATCCTCCATGATCTGCAGGTGGACCTCTACTCCACTGTGGACCTCCATGGACCATAGGGGGCAGCTGCCTCACCATGGGACACCTTCTCCCCCTCCTTCTTCACTGACCTTGCTGTCTGCAATTTGTTACTCTTACATATTCTCAGTCCTCTCTCCTTGATGCCATTGTACAGCAGGCTTCACTCTTTCTTAAATATATTATCCCAGAGGTCCTACCACCATCACTGATGCTCTTGGCCTTGGCCAGTGGAGCGTCCATCTTGGAGCCAGCTGGAACTGGTGTTGTCCAACACAGGGGTAACTTCTGGCATCTTCTCACAGAATCCATCCCTGTAACCCCCCTGCTACCAAAACCCTTCCAAGTACACCTAATATAAGCACCCACATCATGCTTTTTTAGACCCCAGGTCTAATGCATCAATATTCAAACAAGAAAAATTAAACTTGCAATAAGGCACCAGCTTCTTTACACACGAACAAGTATCATGAATGTAAAAGGGTGAAGGTCTTGAATTTTCAGAATTAAAAGTTTTGGTCTGTGACACCTCAATTTGCCTAAGACCCACTAAATTTTATTTTGGATCTAGTCTAGACATCTGAGAATGGACCAAATGGTTTATGTTCGATTTGGGACTCCTAGTCACTTCTAAATTAGATATAATTTGCAAAGCAATGGCCAGAGTGACATCCCCTCTAAGCGGTGCTCAGCTGATTACCCAGTCAAGGTTGATCAAGATATTTAAAAAAAAAAGCCTCCAGAAGATAGCCTCTTAACCCATACTGAGCTTACTTGGGAAACGTGGCTGCAAAAGATTTGAGTTCTTTGACCAGTCCCAAGCAAAAGTATAACATCAGTCTTTCCTGGTCATGACAGACTGTGAAGCAGCACATTGAATTTTACTAAGTATTTGATTAACTGACTAGGAGAGACAGTTTAACTGTCTACTAATATTGCAGTAAGTACTGGACGCCAGAGTATGCTGTTGATGTATGATTTCATTACAAACAGAATACCACCCAAATGAATATCTCAGTATAGCTAAATTAAAAACAAAACAAAAAAGAGCAACATAATTTTACTCTCTTAGTCCTAAAGGTTCCCATCTGAACAGGATTATTCGTATTGGCATCACTCAATATTTTTCCAGTATTCCTGTGAAACATGAATGCTTCTGCCTTATAGAGATGGAAAGAGGGACTACCTAAAGGTTGCAGCTAGGTGTTTGTAGCACCTCACCATTTAATATGCCCTCTCAATCCAAGTGACTGTTTTTGAGTCCTGAAAACCTCTGAAGATAGAAACTCTTCAGCTTTCCTGAACAACCTGCCCTAGTGCTGTACTACTTTCCCAGTGAAGAAATGTCAAATATAACAGATTTCCAAGATCATGTCATTTATCAAGAGCAAAATCTAATGTTAAGTCTGCAGTAGTATTTTTCCATCAGTGTTTGCACAAAAAAATACCAAAAAACAGATGAATTCTCTTCTTTCAGTGCAAATGGATGGTGATATCTAGCCACAGCACAAAAGACCTCACCCAAACCGTAGTTGTTAATACCTGATACTATAATCCTTATTGCTGGTTTCCCATCTTTCATTTCTGTATTACAATTTAAGCATTTCTGTTATTGTGACTTAACCTTCATACAACTTCCAAAAGACAAAAGTATTGGAGAATTAAGGGATATTTCTGTTGCTACCAACTGATAGTTTTTTGGTAATTGCTGAGGAAGGCAATTCCCTGCTGATTTCCTGCAGATGAAATATTTTAACACCTTCTATTAAAAAACCTGCAGAAGTCATCTCTACCGAAGATTTTTACAAAATTTTGGTTCCTGCTGGAAGAGGAATTGTGACATTTGATGGAAATGCTGGTTGATGTGGCAAAGAGTAGTCATCTGCCATTTGAGTATTTCTGTTCCAAAGCCCCAGGATTTTCTATAAGGATTTTCTGTTCTAGCACTCTTTTCTTCTAATCAAAACCTAGAAAATCTCCATTGGAAAACAGAAAAAACATAAGACCCAACTTCTATCCCATTTCCATCCCAGAAATAACTGTACAATGATGCATTAAATACCGATTGGTCTTTTGTCAGTGTAAAGGTGAGATTCCTTATTATGTAAGAGGTATCCTATCCATTGTCCAGCTTCATGAACAAGAAGCAACAGAAGCTAATGAAAGATGTATTTCTGCTCACTTAGTCCCGAGTTACTTCAGTGAGGAGATTTGTAGCATTATTTTGGGAAGTAGTTCTAGAATCTTGAAGGCACTGACTGACAGGCAGCAAAACCTACCCTTTACCAGCAGAACCTTCCTTTTCTGCTTCAAAAAAACTGAGCTTGGCTAAATGCAAGTGAGCAGGAGATATCTTCTGTGGATCATAGTGTGGCAAGAGTTCTAACACTGACTTTAAATTGTTCCACAGCTGTTCCTAGCATATGCATAATCTGCTGTTCAGATCTAGCCTCATATTGCCAGTCTTAGATATTTTCCATTTTCCTGTCTGAACTTGTCTGGCTTTAAGCTATCAGTCTTCTCCTCAGTAGCACTTTGAGTCTTCACCTTATTTTGTATCATCTGTAAATTTTCTTGGTGTGATATTTATATTTTCTCCCTTCTTTTTAAATGTACTTAAGTACCAGTGTAATGCGAATTCTGGTGTCCAAGAGAGCATGTTTTTATTTGTAACCTGTTGCTGTCTCATGCAAGCATATCTTTGAGCCATTACATGTACTAAGCTCTTTCTTTCAGAAGTTTTATTTCTTGCTCTTTTAAGACTGCAGTTCTTTGATGTAAAGAAAGTTTCTGCCAATTTCCAGCCTAAATCTTCTCCTGGACAACTAGTACCATATACAATGTGTTTCTTAAAGCTCAACTTTATTCTTTGTTGAAATTCTCTGATGGTCAAAATTCTGCAAGGATATTTTACATACTATTACACTAGGTTAAAGCCTCATGAATACTTATATACAATACAGATAAATAAGGAGTAATCATTCTTGTTCATAGTATACTTTCTCAGTAGGACAAATATTTAGCTTACACAGAAAACTGTAAATAAGTCACATCTTAAGTACTATGCTGACATTTAAATTAACTCCACTAAATAGCCTGTTTCAGATGTCTTTATCACTTATAGAAGATAGCTGACAGGGAATGGCACTTCTTGTTTGTACTGGCATCACCCTCATACTGTAAGAGCTTTGGTGCTTGCTGAGTAGCTGACATACAATCAACATCTTGGGCCTGTACAACAGCAGCAGTTACGTCAGGGTTTACCCTTGAAAGTGCAATTCATGCAAACTGAAGCTAATAAGAATTGACAGGAATGAAGAAATAGCTAAAGTTTTAATATTAGAAATCTTGTTTTGAGATATATGTGTGTGTTTGTGCGCGCGCGTGCGCTGGTCTATGTGTCAAAGATGAAATGGTCATAATTGTGAAAGAACAAAACCCAAGCAGAAAGGACTTAGAAAAACTAATGGCTTTTGTTTGCTTGTTTGTTTTCAGCTTGCTTACAGTGATCCTGTCAAAAGAACATGTACATGTATTTCACAGTCTAAGACTAGATCAATTTTTGAAGATAATTTTGAAGGCTCAATCTTTTTTAGCTCCTCATTGCCCGTTCCTCCCTTCTCAGGACCTGTTTCATATTTGCACTTACTGATTAATGGATGGAAGCAGAAAGTGCTATGTAAAACATACATTTATTTAAAGGATAACAGAAAATCTCACTTGAATTTCCAGATTAGATTTAACCATTCTGACATTAAGCATATTTAAGTCTGTATCTTTCTACACATAAGTTTGCAAACTGAAGTTTACCATATCCTACTGTAAGGGATTACAAACACAATTACTCATAACTGAACTAAGAATAAGAGTGAAGAACTAGTTAAACTTACATGGTTTAGTACTAATAAACTTGAAATTTTTTCCTAAATGGTCCATCTAATAATTTGAAGCACTGATGTATGCAAATAGATTTCTCAAAAATATACATATATCCCCTTTTAAAACAGCACTGCAAAGCATAAATAAATTTGATATGAAAGGAAAATCACCTTCTCTGCAGAAGTGAACACAAAAATAGACCAGCATCTTAGTCACTACTTGAACTGTCTGAACTGTCAGAAGATGAAGTTTTCTCCTTTCGTCTCTTCTTTTTCTCCTTTTTATGATGCTTTTCTTTCTTAGATTTATGCTTTTTCCCCTTTTCCCTTTCTTTTTTATGTGATTTTTGTTTTTTTGACTTTGGCCCCTCCTCTTCAACTGAACTTGATGCGGAAGATCTAATGAAAAAAATAATATAGATTAATATTTAATAAAGAAGGAAAATGCCACGATAATTTTTTTTTAAAATGTCACTATTTATATGTTACAAATAAAATTTGGTGTAGAATTTGCACAGTAGCATCCACTGAAAAGCTTATGATATCTCAGTCTGCATGTTCAACTTCAATGATGACTTTCCTAATAAGACTTTTGTATGTTTATAATACAGATTAAAAAACTATGGAATAGGGAAGTTGTATGTTTTTTCAGTCTTCAAGAAGAAAAAGATTAGAAGTACAGATCAACAGAAAATAAAGTATGACAGCAAGATAGAGTTTCCAGCTTTTAAAATACCACATGATCAATAACAATGTAAGAGTAATGCCTTCAAAAAAATCTTAATTTATTCCTCCAATGCAAAAATCTAAGAGAAACTCGGTATGACAAATTTGGATGCTCTTGCAGCTGGTAGTATTGGTCTCTAACCAATGATGAGTGATTATACACATAAAATAGTCATGAAGTAATCATGAGTACTCAGAAGGGCAGTTTCGTGCTATTGTTTACATGATTAACTATTATTTACTTGCATGAAAACCGACAGCCAAACTGACTCTTTTCTATTCTTCTTTTTTGTAAGTGTAAATACTGTCTTCAAAAGTGGAAGTCAGAGCTACACGATGTAAATAAAGAAGGAAAAAAATGTCAGTACAACCAGAATTAAATCCTGTTTCTTTATTTCTGAAAAATATCTTATTGTGGTCTCCAAATACATTACACATTTTATAGCTCCCAGGGCAGTTCCTGGGATATTGTCTTATCAACAGTCCTAATGATTAACCATTACTTTCATCTTAAAAGACAAACCAATCAATCATCAGGTCAGAACTCAGATTCATAATAATACTTTTTTTAGGCTTCTACACTGACAGGTGCACTAAAACTCAACAGATGCCAAGTAAAACTACAGAAGTTTTCCTTTTGATAATTGCATGTTACTCAGAGCATGTGTGTGCCTGCATGTGTGTCTACATGTGAATGTGTGCACGCAAAGAATCTTAGGGTCTCTAAAGTGCAGGAAGCCTTCTCCAGTCAGAGGGAACATTGCTTTCTGCCATCTGCAGACCTCCAGCTTACTACAGTTTTCAAAACTTCCATGATCCTAACTACACAGCTAAAAGCCCATGACTTTACCATTAATCCAAGAACAAACAAGTTCTCACTGCAAAAGAGGAAACTTTTCAAACCAAAGATGTACTTGCAAATCAAGCTGCATAAAAAGAAGCAATACCTTCTGAGAGACAACCCACGCATCAGAAATATTTCTGAAGTTGTGTTTTGAAATGAAAACAGCTGTGTGATACGAGTTACCTTTTCCTTAGTCTTTTTGTCTTCTCTTTGTTTTTTCTTTTTTGTTTCTTTTTTTCTTCCTCTTCATTTAAATCTATGGGTAAAAAGTTACATTTTAAAAAGCACTTGTCTGAATTTAGATCAGAATTAAAAGAGTGGCTTCAATAGCAATGTAAAGTTACTACAAAATTCCTGTGAAAAGGTTATCTTTTCCTTCCTCCAAATTCTGCTCTAGTGCAACAATTTCAGAAACATTTTGCAGAGTGGCAAGATTTTTATACACAGCTTACATTGTAATGACCTTGATCTAAGTACTAAGAAGGAAGGAAGGCCTGTAAAACTTAGCAAGAAGTTGTAACTTTTCCTATACGTTGACATCAGCTTCAGGTTTTCATATCTGTTTTTCTGTATTTTAACAGTCTTAACACTTATCATATTATTGCCTAAGTCTGAAAGCAGGCCATTTAACTAGAACACACCAAAAAAAAGGATATTCCCTTAAGATATTCAGGAATGTAACCTGAATTACATTCACACATCTTCCTTTCACACTTCACAAATAGCAATGCTATAACTAAGATAAATGAATTAATTTTCCATGCACCATCTACAAAGGTTGACAGAAGCATTACCCCTCATATGGTTGTGTTTGTTTCCTGCCCCAATGCTGTATAGTACTGCATAGTAACTTCACATTTCACTTATAAAATATATTTTTATCACACTGGAGATGAAATTTCTGATCTTAGATTTTTCTATACCAGTTCAAAAAGTATTTTTTAATTCTCCAAATGCAAATTCACTAAATAAATATAAATTACAATGTCAGTTAACAGGAAAATACTGTCTTTATAATTTATTCTTAGAACAGTCAATTTTGAGCATTTCATCTTATTCCTATCATACTTTCTACAAAGTCTGCACGTTACTAGTGCAGTGATACATTTGCTACCACAAATACAAATTACTGGTCTGTATGTTCTGGAGCAAAATTTGAAAGAATTCAATATGAATTAAAAAAGCAAATTATCTTTGGAGCAATTAAAAAACATAAACAAGAATGGGCGAACAAACACTCAGTATTTTTTTAAGAAAATAGTGCAAAAACCTTGAGATGAGGCCACTTGAAAATGGCAAAATTCTGCCTAGATTATTGACAGTTAGAGATACATGTCTCCTTAGCAGCCACAGTTTGAGAAAGAAAATATAGTAAATATAATATATATATATATATATATAATATAATAAATATAGATATCAGAAGATCAGTTGCTTTCCCTGCAGGTATCCATCTTCAATCAGTTAGGGCTAAAAAACCCCCAATCCTTACATTCAGAAATACGTGAGTGGGAACTAGTTTTTTCAAAGAGACTTGTCCCAAGAAAGGACCGTTGCAGTACCAATTCAGCACTCTTGTCAAGCAGACTACCCGTTTCTTTTGAAGCGTACAGCAAACTACAAGGCTCTATCTTTCCCCTCTCCCTAAACAGCATCTTCAGTAGGAACTAAATGTCAGGTCTGGAATGAGAGAGCAACAGAACAGAACATGATGTTTTGGCAGAGAAAAAGAACATTCATTCACTTAAAACATGCTATGGTGTAGTAACCTCTCCTTCTTACTTAGGGGAACTACTTCTTTGAAGTCCAAATTCAAATGAACTCAAGCACCTGATAAATAGCCCATCTGTTCTCTCTGACAAACAATTCATACTCACACCTTCCAAACATAGAAGAGTAATTCTCCAAAGATAAATGTTTAAATTCCAATTTACTAGCTGTTTCAGTCAAAATCCTACTCAGAAGCTGGAGAGAAATTGTCATATTTGTCATTAGTTATAAGATGTTTAAACTACATGCCATAATCAAAAGATTAACTCAGAACATCCGTATCATTTTCTCCTAAGCAGCTTCTTAGTAACAGTCTGATAATCTTTTGCATTTAGGAGCCCTTTTTGAGATGTTCCAAATGGGTACATTAGTAATTTCCTATGACGGGAATTAATACTAATAAAAAAAGTGGGTGTATCACATCTCTAAGTCTGAACATAGGAAGGACAAGACCTACTATTAAATCACAAGCTAAAAGAACTAATAGTAGTTATCAAAAAGGATAAAATGAGAGTTCCTACACTTCAGAAGACCACTATTCAATGTATTCTATGACTGAAAAGAAAAAAACCACAAAAACATCTTACTCTTTTTTTCACGCATGGCCTGCAATCTCTGTAGTTCTTCTTCCTCACTGTCTTCACTGCTAGTGCTGCTAACATCTAAAACAATATCTCTTTGAGGATCTACTCGGAGGAAGTTTCGACATTCAAATGTCAAATGACCAGCTGGACAAAACAAATATAAAGAAAGAAAAATTACGGTTTAGCAAAAAATATCAGAAACTAAAGAACATCCACTTTTGTATTACTTGGTTTTGAGAACTGAAAAAAGGGTAGGCTGGAATCTGTGAATGAGGTAGGAGAGGGCTTACTTTGAAAAAACCTCCAAGAATTTTGACAGGTTGTGCAATGCTCTTCCATTTAACCGTGCTTTATGACCTCTTTCCTATTTCTGTTAAAGATTTTGTTCAACTTTTATTTTTCTATTTTTAATTGTCTTGGATACTGTCTAAGAAACTACCTAAAAGCATCAAGTGAAATATTTAAAAAACTAAAGCAAGTGTTATACTGCTCTTTTTAACTCCATCTAGTGAAATCACAGAATCCTATTTGCTTATGAGCTATAATCTTTACAACCAGTACTTACTACTGTCTAAGTTACTACTTGACTAGTATTTTTAATTTTCTTAGTTACATCTTGATAATCATGACCAGTTAGAAACCTTGTGCTGAACAAGCCTAATGGAATAATAAAGTGAAATAAAACAAATTGAAAAAATGGTTTGGGAGACGCATGAATTCAAGTAGTAATTGAAATAAACTCATGTTCTTCACATCAAAACACCTATATCTTGAAGACAGAGCTTTTAGGAACACAAAAAGGGATTGTTTGATTTGACTACAGGTTTCCCTCTCTTCCAGAAAGTTTCTGATACTTGCTGCATGTAGAAACAGAGCACTAAATCTATATTGATATCCATGGTCCTTTTGAAGAAGACATACACAAAACAATTCAGTGACAAATTTTCTTGCAAAGTCTGAAGTGGAAGAATGAAACAAGACTTTTTCCTGTCTCCCTATGTAACGCTCATAAAAAACCTCTAACAGCTTAGATCACTGTGTTAAAAGTTCAATATAACTCACTGCAAAACAGTGTCTACTCCTCCATTGTTCTAAATATAAGAGTTAGTGATTAACAAATTAAAATCTTCACTAGGACCTCTCTCCATTCATCAGGAAAGTAGCCACTGTATGATCAGTATATAATGCAAAGCATGAGCTAAATGCTAACTGCACAACTTGTAAATAATAAAAGTAACTGCCTCTTGAAATACACGATGCTCAAGGAAATATGTTTTCTTGGCTTAAAAGATCACACAGATTTTAAATTATTTTTTCTTGTAACATAGATTGGCCTTAATGTGAGCTGAAGTGCCTGCCTGTTTGCAGTGAGATTCAGAAGCACAAATGCTAATCTCAGTATGTATCAAAGACGATGCTTTCAATTCAAACTTTCTCAAGTAATTTACTACAGCAAATGTAATATATATGAATATTATAGCATAATTTTTTTTCTGAGAAACTCAAGAGTTTTCAAAAGCAGCAACAGGTGTGAGAAGCCAGAGAATGAAAATGAAATAAATAAATTTTAAAAATGTGGTATTTAAAACTGACAAAGGCAGTTCCAAAATCATAAATTGAACAGAACACTGTAACTTCATATTGTTTATTGTTGACTTACGGTAACCACACTTTTTGCATCCTGCTCTGATGTTATCCTTATTTCCGCCTGAAAGAGAAAATTTCACCAATGAGGTCTTGCTAAACAGAACCCTCAAGTTTCTTTCAAATCTGGCTTGATAATGTCAATACACAGACAAAAGTGATCACTCAGAGTATTAAGTACATATGAAAGTACATATCTGTTAAGAAAAACTTAAAGAAAGACAAACCAGTGCATTTCTACGGTCACTTTCCTGTGTAGTATAAACCACTCACATAACTTACTGCCAAATCCTAATTTGATTTATCATGACCTTTCCATTATAATTTTAATAATTATTCCACCTCTCTGAAAGCTTATAGATTTGTTTAGTTACAGTATGAGCACAGTAATAATAGTTACCTGACATTCCAGTAATCTGTAACTGCACACTAAGTGTACCTAAAAATTCTAGCAGTGTATGGATATTGACAGACATTCACTGGGAACTCTGAAGTGGTTTATATTTTAATTACAGGAATTGACTTTAAACGGCAATTAAAAAACAAAGCAAACAAAAAAATCAGTCCAGAAAAGACAGAAAAAAAGAAAAGTCCACAAATTGTTAAATGATTCTGAATCCAGGAAACATGGCACCAAATACAAAGAATTAAGAGGTGCAAGAAAGCAAATGTATAATAAAGTGAAGAGAGTAACAAAAAAGTCTGTAGTTGCTAAGCAGGAAGAAGGACCAGAATAATGCAAATTTTAGGTGTGGAAAGTGTGGAATTTTCTCACGTGAGACCACAGTTAAGTTAAACAGAAATAGTAGAACATGATTCAGAAGAAGAGAAACACCAGAGACTTTTCCCCTTTCAAAGAGATCAGTATGATTTTTAAACAGCTGAGCCTATTCATAATGAATGTCACAATCGAATTTCCAAAAGCAAAGGATGCCCTTCTATCTTCCAACAAAACTTCAGTGACTTAAATAGTTATAAAGTGTCTTCTGAATAGCTTGTTAATGTATTTAAATAAATAAATAATCAAACATAATAAGAAATCTATTACAGAAATTAGAGAACTAGAAAGGGAGTACATCAATGCCAGGAATTTAAACTATGATTTACTGAGACAAGCATTGTCTTTAGAAAATTCTACTCAAAATAACAGAGAAACCTTCAACCCAAGGTTGAAAAAACTAACTTGGAAATCTGGATGACTCACTGGTCTATGCCCTAAAGAGCACTGGAAAGCCAAGAAATAAAAACATACATTCCATTATAACACATGATTTTCTGCAGATCCCAAAACCTTAGTATTACATATCCCCTTAAAGGTCTATTAACTCAGTATTCAAGTGCCTGTTGCATGACTGCCTATTTCAAAGACACATGGAAGGAAGTGTCACAAAACAAAAACCAAAAGCACGCCTGTACCTTGAAATGTCACATCAGAAAACCACTCAAAACAGCGTTTGCTTGTTCATTACACTTTGGGACTAGAAAACCAGATCACCTGAGCTACCTAACTGGTCTCAACATTCCGAAATTACTACTTAGTAAACTTCAGCCCTACTACAGAGCTGACCTGTAGGCAAAGAAAGATTTAGTATTTCATCCAAAGGAGGTCAGTAAAGTCATGCACACACTATAAAATCTCCGGTGTAGGTCAAGATTTCCAAGAGAAACACCCAGCAGTTGACAAGAATATTGTCACCCAATACTCCCACCAAATTCTGACGACTGAAATTTTATTATTATTTTTGGTTTTAAATAATAATGTTAGAAGCTGAGGTTTAGACTAGATGAAATTTTAGACAATTAAAACAAATTGCTAGATGCTTCCCTTTGTAATTTCTTCTCCTTTCCATTCGTTAATCCTCAAGAAAATTAACCAACACAACACTAAGGACTTGGTCCACTCACCGGAGCGTAAAATTAAAAATAAAAGCTTTGCAAACCTTTGAATAGAAAGACGAGTCTTCCTCAAGAACTCCTTCTAAAATGGGAGCAAGCTTATTAAGCTTATACTTCACTAGAGAAGTAGCTTACCAAAGCCCAGGCTTGGTCAGCTGTTCTCCAACCATACACTCTTTTTTTTCTCAGGATCAAGACTGTGCAGCAATGGCACGAACACCCTGCTAACAGCGTAGGTGTTTCTCCCTGCCCTACCTCACCACCATTCCGAACCGGTCTGTTTGAACAACGATCTGCTGGAGCACCTACGTTAACCAAGAACAACAATCGAGAAGGAAAACCAAGGCTGACCACCAGCATTCTTCGGATCTGACTTTGGAGGAGGCGACGGGAACGCAGGGCTGGATCAGCCAAAACCGCGTGGGGAGGCCCAGAGGACGCTCCCGCAAGGCTGCACTGCCCCTGGCCTTGCCCGCCCCGCCACCTCCGTACCCCCTCCCGCCTTCCCTCCCAGAGCAGCCCCCACCACCCCCCTACGCAACTGTCCATCACCCGCCGCTCATTCCCCGTTTCCTCCTTCCTGGCCCCGATCCCGCCAGCCCTGCCCCTTCCCGCCCCCGGCCCCTCACCCGGCAGGGCCATCCCGCCGCTCCCGCCGCCTCGGCCCGCGTCTGCACCGACGTCTCTCCCTGCCGGAAGGCTTTGCACGGCGCACACCCGGACCGTGCCACTCACAGGGAAGGCGGGGGACCTTAGTGCCCCTCGGGCGGGAGGCTCGAGGAGGGACTGCAGGTGTATGGAGAAGCCCTCGTTTTTTTCCCAAAAGACGTCCTTTCTCAGTGACTCCCGTAGAGACTCCGGCCGGGGACTCATCTCTTCGTCCCTCCTCCTGGCTTGGGCAGCCTCACGCCCCCCTTCCCAGGGCTGTGTATAGGTGCCCAAAATGGCTGGCGGCTGTGCGCGGTAGGAAGCGCTGGATGAGCAGCGAAGTCCAGGGTCGGGAGCGGGCGGGTGTTCTGTAGTCCCACGGTCCTTTCACCATGAGCAACATCTACATCCAAGAGCCGCCCACCAACGGGAAGGTGAGGCAGCCGGGGCGAAGGTCGTGGAGAAGTTGTATGTTGCAGGGGTATGGGGGGGCGCGGGTTGTGTGCCTGTGTGGTGGTGCTTTTCATGCTGGGCTCGTTTGGTTAAAGTTACTCTGAGGTGATGTCGCCCTTAAGGACGTTACCAGAGTCGTAACACGAGGCGTGATATGTGGATACATAATACAGAGGAATCCCTGGAGCATTTAATTTCATTTCCTCTCTTCTCGATTATATCTTCACGCCCTTAATTTTGTTACGACCTCTCACTGAATGTAATGGTAATACTTGTAAGAGAGAAATATACCTTTGGGGATTTATGGCTTTTTTTCCCGCCCTGTTGTTTCATTATGAAGTGATAAAGAGTATCTAAGTTTCTGTCATGTGCCACGTACCAGCCACGTTATTGTATTATATTATATTATCGTGGCTAGGCTTCTCGAACAAAGATTTGGGAAGGACTCTACCCACTCTTGTTACAAGCGTGTTGGTGGCTAAAAAGGCCAATGCGAGATAGACAAGTCTGGTTGCAAAAGGCACAGCAGAAGGACTCCTTAAGTGGTATATTCTACAAGACACGATTCTTTCTGCGTTGTCTTTTCTCCTCAAGAGTGATCCTGCATGTGTTCTCAGAGGAAGCAGCAGCGTTATAGATGGTGTGTCTCCAGACCTCCCAATTGGAGGCCAGAGTAGATCAGTTATGTTGATCAATATGGCCAAAATGTTGTTTCAGGGAGTCCTTGTATCTTCTCTTCAGGGCTTCTCTCTTGCGGCAGCCGGTGGCAAGTTCACCATAAAGCAGGATCTTAGGGAGGCGGTGGTCCTTCATCCTGGAGACGTGTCCTGCCCAATGCAGCTGTGTTCTCAGCAACTTGTGATTGCTGCTTGTTCTAGAACAGACTTATTAGTCACATAATCTGACCAATCAATCCTAAACATCCACTGGTCAGATTATTTTATACATTCTTACTATACATATATGTTCAGAGTTGTATCTCAAGTTCTGGAAATGCTATCTAGAACTAACAATAGCTATACAACACATTTAAATGTATATCACTGTTACTAATATACTAAATTCAGATGTATTTTTAAAGTAAGCAATGATATTCTTTGATCACTGACTAACTTACAATAAAACTGATGATGCACTTATCTGTATTTTTGTAGGTTTTGCTGAGAACAACAGCAGGAGAGATAGATATAGAATTATGGTCAAAAGAAGCACCAAAAGCATGTAGAAACTTCATCCAGCTTTGTATGGAAGGTAATGAGGGGATAGCAGTTGTTGAAACTACTTCATATGAAATCTTCGTGCCTTTTTTGTAACATAGGGGTTATAAACATGTTTTAACCTTAATACTTCAATAAGTTTATTTCTATTTAAAAATTATTAACTAACACTCACACGATGTTTTTCAAGGTTACTAATGAACCTAGTGGAGAAAAAAAATTGGATAGTTTTCTCAACTTAAGCAGATGATGCAGTGTTACTGAAATGGTGCCTGTCAGAGGCTTGGAAAGGCTTACTTTCAACAAGTCTCTACACAGTATAACTTCTTTAGTGTGTGTATAAGATGGCACTGATGCAATATTGGATATCCTCCAAAATTCTCATTTCTGTGTCACCATATTTACTACCTTTTCTTTTTTTTTTTTCTGTGAGTGTTTCTGATTTTTTATTTGCTGTATTTTTTTGTTGACAGAAGCTCTGTAAAGCTCTCCACTGAAGCAGCGGGTACCAAAATAAGAAGCTCCCTCTTGGGAAACTGTAACAAAAATTTGTGAAGGACTTGATGCCTTTATGTTTTCTAACTGCTGCTATTATCCTGTTTTTGCATTTATAGAGTGGCTAAGAGTTCTTTTCGCCTTCATCTGTTAAGCAGAAATAGCAGCCTAGGATTTGTGCTCCAGCACAGATCCAGCCTGTTCTGTGTTATTACACCTATAGTTGAAATTTTTTGACATGGTAAATCAGTTTCTTAGCCCTTGGTAAGAATTCACTTATCCTCAGTGGACTTTTTTTCCTTTCTGATTTTTTTCTAACTGCTGTGTAGTATCCTATTCTTTGTATAGTACATTAGAGTATTTCTTGTGAGTCTCCTGGCATATAGCCACCCATGACTATATCTAGTTAGGCTGTGACATTTGCAGACCCTGCTTTGTCTTACAGCATGCTGCAGATTTATTTTTGTTCAAAAATAATAATAATAAAAAATAATAATAATTAAAAAATCAACCAGAAATATATGTCAAGTAAAGTTTTCATTCCTTTTGTTTTCTTATGATCATGTAACCTTTATCAGATAGATAGATAAGATAGATTAGATAGATAGATAAGAAGATAGATAAGAAGATAAGGAGAAAAATGTACCACTAATTTCATTTTGCGAAAATTATCAGTTTAGGCACAGTGTAAGTAGTGAAAGCGGACCATATGTGTTCTATACTGGTCCATGGAAGTGCTAATCATCTGATATATGAATATGGCTGATGTTGTATGTGAGACATTGTGTGAGGCAGAGCATAGTAGTTCTAGCTCTCCTTTTAAATGGATGCATTGTAATTGTAGTATCATTCCAGTAAAAAAACTTAAAAGCGGAAAAGAAAGTAGTTGATCAAGATCATCTTGGTAGTGATGAGTAGGGTCTTTTGCAACAGAAACATATGACAATGTAGGGGTTTTTTTGTAAGACTGTGTGGAATAGAAGGGAACCCAGTGGCATCAGCAAAATCTACTGACAGTACTTGCTTTCTGGGACTTCAGTCTCTGGACATCCCTGCATGATCTATATGAAAGTTTGATTTTGAGACCACTAACATGTATTTAATCTTTTATTCTTTTTTCCTCTTTATTTTAGAGTATTACAATAACACAATATTTCACAGAGTAGTGCCTGGCTTTATAGTGCAGGGAGGTGATCCTACTGGTACTGGATCAGGAGGAGAGTCAGTCTATGGAGCTCCCTTCAAGGTGTGTCCCTGTATATCTCATGCATTAATTTTTGGTTATTTGCTATCTGTTGTTCTTTCTGCCATGTTATGTTCTGAAAAAGCAAATGTTGTATGAAACATGTGCAGTATTTTATTTCACATGCTGCTTCAGTGTGTTTGAATATGTCTTTTTGAACTGAGAGTTCTTAAATCTAGCTATTCTGATATTATGATAAATGTATAACCATATTAGCAGGAGCTTCACGAAAGAAAATTGGGGAGACGAAGAATGAAGAGTAAGTCTTGATATATGACAACTCAGAAGTGTTTGTGCACGTTATATCTCATTTAGCAAAGGTCTCTGAAGGCTGTATATGTGTCCGTTGGTATTATTGTTATCATCATGGTTCATCACTTAGCCAGGAGGGTCAAATCCTGAGTGAAGCTAGGCGGGCTCAGCGGCTGTGTTCTGTCCTGCCTGATATTTTATTTCAGATGTGGGAGGCTCATGACTGAAGGTGCATAACCTGACGCTGGGCCTTGCATCATCTTGCCCCTTGTACATTTGGCATGAATGTGAAGTTTTGGGAGGGAATTTTAACTAAGCAGAGAACAAAACAAGTATTACCCATACTGTAGTAGCATTGCTGCTTAAAATTAATACTATCTCAATATAGCAGTGTTTAGAATTGTGATGTTATCATGGTATTCATGTATTACTCAACACTTTCTCTTTGCTTTGAAAGGAGTCCTATTTTGCCTTCTTATGGTAAAGAAAATGTTCTTCCTATGGATTTTTGCATTAATGTATTATTACAACCTCTTATTGTGGTTACTTTCAGTTACTTTACATGAATTATGATTTTTCGCATAAATACAGTGATTCACAAGAATGGTACTTTTAGATGAAATGTATGAAATGCAGTTACTTTTTAAAACACTTCTGATTTTCTTAATGTTGGGGGGTAATGAAAGCAAATAGAAATAATGAATAACAGTTGATTTTTAGGGAACAATTGGAAAAATAAAATTAACAAGACAGAAATTTGAGGATTTTTATTAAATAATATGTCTTTCTGTTATTGATTTGTCAATAAACTTATTTTGTCAATTAGTTTCTAATTTTTTGTTTGGTGTTCATTGGTTATGTGTTTGTGGTTTCTTTTGAAGGTTGTTCACTTGCTTGCATTATTGTAGGCACACAGGATTAAAAATATTGACTAAAATAATTTTTGCTGCTCAAAATAGAAACTTTTAAATATAATTGTGGCACTAAGTTTGAAAATACTTTGGATTTATTACTGTCTGAATTTTAAAAAAAAATTTAACAGCGTATTTTCTGTGTGTGCATGTTGATGTATATAAGCCATAGCTAAAGAAGTGAAAAAAATAATTACAGACTTAAATGGTACTGTTTTCTCTTCTGTTTTGACAGGATGAGTTCCACTCACGACTGCGATTTAATCGAAGAGGACTTGTTGCTATGGCAAATGCTGGGCCCCATGATAACGGGAGTCAGTTTTTCTTTACACTGGGTCGTGCAGATGAGCTTAACAACAAGCACACAATCTTTGGAAAGGTCTGCTATGTGAACTAGAGTCCCAGTTTAAATTTGACAGAAGCTACTATAAGTTTCTCTGAAGGCTAATTTAGTGTTGTTTGCTGCTACGTACATTTGAAATTTATTTCACTGCTTTCTCAGCTGTCTCCTTTCTCTTTGTTTCCCATATCTGACAGAAATGTTTCTATGGGTTGTTCCCATTATTCTGTACTTGGCTGTTGTTATTCTTCTAAGTTGTATTTTCATGTTGTGCTGCCTCTAAATATTCTTATTAATATTATTATGCCTCTGTTTTATTAATTAGTTCATCTAATCCTAATGACATTTAATTGTGTGCTTAGATTCTAATTACTCAAGAAGAATCAGGAAAATGTAAAACATAGAATGAATTTACCACTCTTGTGATTTACTTAGAAGAAAATAAACCAAATATTTTTTATTGGTTTTTGTTTTCCTGTTTCATAGCTCAAGAATAAGAACTTGACATCTTCCCCTGCGTACATTCTCAAAACTACCTATATTCCTTCAAGTTTTGCCATGAAATTTAGAAACCCCAAACCTTTGTACATTGTACTTGCTTTCTTTTATAAGTCTTACATGCTTACAGTATTTCCTACATAATTTGTATTTTCAAAATTTCTTACATAATAATTGCCTTGCATTTTGAGGAATAAATAACAAATATTACAGGCAAGGATTTTCAAGCCTTTTTTATAAATTTGCCAGGTTACAGGGGATACAATATATAACATGTTGCGCCTTGCTGAAGTAGAAGTTGACAAGGAAGAGAGACCTCTCAGCCCACACAAAATAAGAAGTAGTGAGGTGAGTACATTCTGGTTTGAAAAGTGATGCTTTAAAATTCAGTGTTCAGAAAACTTGGCATATTGTTTTAAAATACTGTATCATTAAATTACAACAAAATACTTACTAAAGATGTGTCTAAAATTCTGGTTTTTTCACAGGTTTTGTTTAATCCTTTTGATGACATTGTCCCAAGACCAAATAGAAGACTGAAGAAGGAAAAACCAGAAGAAGAAACTAAAAAGTCCAAAGTAAAAGGCACAAAGTAAATATATGCAACATAAGCAATGGTTTTCTTTCACCTTTAGTTTGCAGCTTGGCAATTTTTTTGTTTCTATTTCTGCTTTTGAAGCACAAGGCTCTACCAAAATGCAGAGTAATCTTACATAATCTTAGCAAAATTTACTTCCCTGTTTCCAAGGTGGATCTAGTGTCTCTCTTTGAAGTGGTTCCTGTGCATCAGCTGAGCTGTGACTGTTTCATGCATGGCGATAGTTGCAAAAGTAAAAGTTAGCTTGAGTCTTTCCTACCACTTCTTTTGCACTGAAATACTTAGCAAAAGGCAGGCATTTTGACATGGCAGATTTCAGTGTCTGTGAATGAAGATTCATAGTCACAAACAGGCAATGAAAAATAACAGGAAATCTGAAGTGTGCCTGCTGTCAGTTCTGCTGCACAAAAATAATACATGTTGCAACTACCTGGTTCCAACGTCACATAAGCAATTAACTCTTGAAAAAAAAAATTAAAGATCATTATTTCTTCTGATTACATTCTGTGGATGTGTACACATTTGATGCCTTTCCGAGCCATCATATCTTGAACATTTTGTATCTGTTACTTGAGTGCTGCTCTGTTGAGGAAAAAAAATTAAAAATGCAACAGAGCTGTCATCATATAAGAGTCAGTGGAAGTTACTTGAGTCAGAATTTTTTAAATTGTGTCTTAACATTGTCCAGGTGGTGCTTCATTGTCCTTTTTTGTCTCAGGAATTCAATGGAACATGCTTTGCTAAATATTTACAGCTTGTAGCAAAGCAGCATGTTGTAGTTGTTTGGAATTGGTATATTTAACAGGACAAGAAGTTTTTTGAAATCGTACAGAACATGAAAATAAGATGTTTAAAGATAATGGAATATTACTAAGACTGTATTTAAAGTTTTACTAGAAAATTATTTTTCTCTCTTAAAGAAACTTTAACCTGCTTTCCTTTGGGGAAGAAGCTGAAGAAGAAGAGGAAGAAGTCATTAGAGTTAGTCAGGTACTGTATCAAATTATCCTCATTTTTCTTTTCAACTTAATTACCTTTCTGCATGTTTGTGAAAAGCTTTAAAGTTCTTAGTCTTGTTCTTTTCTATGAGTTTTGAACAATACTAGAAATTGCTTCGGTTTTTAGGATTCTACTGTTTTAACATTTTGATAAAAACAGAGGTTTTTATGACTTTAAAGGTGCCTTCAGTTACTGCAGGGAATTCCTACATTTCCATGAACATATCGTTTTATAGTATAGTTCTGTGTCTCCTGTTTAAAATTCATGTAGGTGATAGGTACTTCATTCCTCTTCAGCTCCTTAATTTAAATTGTGGGATTTTATGGTAAAATACTTGAGTTTTGAAGATCATCTTGTGCATTACCAGTGCATTCTTAGTTCTTATGTGTATTCATTATTCTGTGTGCAAAATGAAGTGGGGGTACTGTGGAGAAAATAGTCCATTATCATAATTTAATGTTGCACTCTTGCGAATTGTTCACCTTCACAGAACTAGGGCTGCATAGGTAGTCTTTGATCGAACACTTCCTTCCCTGACTTTGCAACTTAAATAAAGTTAATTTAAAAACTTTTCAGTAAGTTGTTACTCTTGTTTCTACCGCCGACCAAATAATTTCACTAGAGCCCTAGGCTTTCTACAGTTCAGGTACCTCTCTGCTTCAGATAGTGAACAGGGTACATGATCCTGAGTCCTGTACCACATAAGTGAAAAATGGTGGTCAGTCCTCAGGAATTAGTTAAAATACAAAAGAAAAACAGTGACTAATGATGGACAATATTACAGTGAAATGATGTCAGTCAGGATGACAGCAGAGTAGTTTTAAGTATTTTTCTCTTTTTCAAGTTGCCAGTCAGACTAACTATACTTGTTTTTCTTAATATGCTCATCTGCGGTTCTACTCTTGATATATGTCTGGCTTTTAATACTGCATTTAATTCAGTTGCTTTGATGTTCTTTCTTTCTATGCCAAATACTTGCTTTTCAGTTTAAAATTATCTAAATAGAATGTGGCTTTCATGATAAGCCTAATTTCAGTGTTGTCATGCTGTCTTTCAACTCAGCCTTAAAATCTCATTCTCCTGTTTGTCATGACTAAATTATGGACTAGCTGTAGCTGGATAAGTAACCACATCAACTGTTTATGAAAAAATTCTGTTCATTCTTTACAACAAAATAAAACCTTCTTTTCTAAACCTCACTGCTTGTTCCTAAAAGGTCTAGATCAGTATCTTTGTAGTTCTGGATGTTACCTTAATGTCGATTGAGTTAAAGTACATGAACGTCAGCACTAACTTTCATTCTCTTGATATGACAAATGGAAGGTCAAAGTTAATAATGAGATCCTCTGACATTTACAAACTCAAAATCCTTCTATGAATTGCAGTAAGTCTTGCTTGTTTCGGTGTAAAAAGGGTGTACTTTGAAGGAGAGAGTTTGAGGAAAGTCTGCAAGTAACTGAGGAATCCTCTAATAGATCTGGGAAAAGGGAACATTTTCTGTTAATTTTTAGTGTAGTGAGGCTGAGCCTAAAATTTTTCGAGGAGCAAATGAAAACTCAATTTCAGGTGTTTCAGGGTATCTACACTTAGTCTACACTAGGGAATTTATTTTGCCTTTGCTGCAATGCGTTATCAGCCTCTTATTTCTGAGGCTGTACAAAGAAGGGCAAGAAGAATAACTAGGGATATGGATCACAGTAGCTTTAAAATTTAGAAAAAGGAGAAAAGAAGGAAATTACGAGAACAATTTTTTCGTATTTCCTGCAGTATGGTGATTGAGACACAAAAATAAATTAACAAATAAACATACAATTAAAAATGTATTTCTCCCTCTTGTAATTTAGGTTGTGAGCATTTATGCCACAAAACATGATTAAAATTATAAACGCTTTCAAAAAGAAATTAAATGAGGGATTAGGGCCATTGGTGTCATTTAAGTGTTACAGGTCAAATTGTGTCTTCTGTAACAGGGGAGTCTCTAAATTGATATATTATAGAGAGTATGAATCTTAAGAGAGAAAATTTGTGTACCTCAGGTGGTTATAGGAGGCAGAGATGGCAGGGTTAGAGAAGACTGTGTCAAGGAGGGGCAAGAGCAGAACACCTACATGAGGGAGGGTAAGCGAAAAAGTAAAAGTGATTCCAGCACAGGCAGTGTGCTTACCAAGAGGGGTACAATCCCACAGCATCTGGATATAGCAGACAGAGTTGGTTCCTCGTAACAGGGTCCATCAGCAGTCCTGAAAATGACAAGCAAGAACCAAGGCTGAGGTCCCCAACCACAGAGTCCAGTCAGGAGCAGCAAGAGATGGGAACAGAACAGAGGACTGGAGACAAGTTTACAATGTGGGTCCAACAGGCTTATCTAGAATAGACACATGTATACTTTCAACATTGTTCAGGTGGTGAGTATATTCTTAGGCCTGAGCTGGAATGGTGCTCATGGGCACAGGAGCTCCCGGTAAAACCCTTCAAGGCCACAAACCCTGTTAGTTCACTCAGGGATCTGACAGTGGGCCCCCCACTGGTTGTTGATTAGTGTTTGAACTGAAGCTTTTGATGTCCAAACTGCTGATTGTCTGTACTTGTTTGGAGCACTTTACAATACACCCGCCCCCACTCCAAACACACACACCACTCTGTTGCTGAATGTGTTAGTCTTTGTTTTCTACATAATAAAAAGTTGAAGTTGTGTTTAAATGGGTAAGATCTGTCCACACAATTACTGTCCTCCTGGAAGAATTATGCAGTGCATCTGCAATGGAGACATTCGGGTAACAATACAGACTGTTTCTATAGTAGAGATTTTCACTCTGATTTCAATCTGAAATTGAAGTATATTTTTCTTTTTTTTTGGATTATCATGGGGAATGCTTTTATACTGTAGTCTTTCTGCCAGAAGAACTAATGTATTGTTAGATTTATTTGACTCCTTGTGTCAGTAGATGATTCCTGCAGGATGTATTCCAGGTTGATATATTGCAGTTTGTTAATTTCTTTTTTTTTTCTCCTAAGGATCTAATTAGTGTTCTTCCAGTTAATAAGTACTGTCTTGTGCATGGTAGTTCTTTGAGTTGTCATGTGCCATTCTTGGAAAGTCAGGGTCTTACCTCTTCATTCACTCAAGTGTATATGTGCTAGACTGTATCTTTATGATATGTGATTATTGGCATGACTAAACAATCTCTTTCTTATTTTTTTCCTCTCTTTGCTTTAAAACTAAGTGCACTGGTATTGCAAAAATAGTTTTTAAATCCATGGAGTCAATTTGATGCTTCTCTTTCTGGAACACTTTCTCTGTTCTTCTGCTCATAAAAATGTTTATGCTTACTAGTTAGATGAAAACTAATAAGAAACAAGTTGCCTTTTTCTTACCATAACCGTTTTTCACTATCTATCCTCTTAAACACTGAAATAAATATTTTTCCTTTTTTTTTTCTTTTAACAGAGCATGAAGGGAAAAAGTAAAAGTAGTCATGATCTACTGAAGGATGATCCACATCTGAGCTCAGTTCCTGCTGTCAAAAGGTTAACATATGATTTCCAGTTTCCAGAACAGATTTACTTTCAAGTTGTTACACCCGATTAACATCATGTGTACTCATTGTTTGTCTGTCACTCTTTAAGGATTTAAGAATACCAGTGCTGGATCTAAGAAAAAATTTCTCTAACCCACTGTCACCAACACTGGCTATCAGTGGATGCCCAACAAAGAATTAAAGCAGAGCAAGTGTCATGTTTATCAGAGTGGTTTCCCAGCCTCCATCAACTTTCATCTCAAGGGACTGTCAGAGTTTGATGTGGTTCATCTATTTAGTAATCTTAAATAGAGCTCTCTTCAAAATATGTGTTAAGTCCCTTGTAAAATTATTTCTGTTCACACCATCCGGTCTGGTACAGGAAGAAGTATCTCCCCTTTTTGTTCTGAACCTGGCTGCTGCCAGCATCATTTGATAAATTCTAACTCTCATTCTGGAAGAGACAGTGAGCAGTCAGTCCCTTTATACCTCTCTTTACCACAATACTTTCTTAAACCATCTCTTTTCTAGCCTAAAATTTTGAAAGTTTACTCAAATTTTCTTCATGCAGAAGTTTTTCTCCACCATGGTTATTCTTGTTGCTCTTCCCAACCCTCTGACCCTGCTTATGCTCAAAAGTATCTTTTTTTTTTTTTTCAAATCTAAAAAAACACATCAAAAATGAGGTGAATCATAAATCTGTATGCTTGGATAAAGCTGGGTTTCTTCTCTATTTCTTTTTAATATTTGTTAAATTCTGATTCTAACCACAGTCCATATATTTTCTTTCAATTTTCTCATCTTAACACTTAACTCCAAGAATTTGCTTATCATAAAATTGTGGAGTAGTTTACTTTGGAAGGGACTATTAAAATTTACTGCATCCAAACCCCATGCAACGGGCAGGGACATCTTCAAGTAGATCAAGTTGCTCAGAGCCCCATCCAACCTGGCCTCAAATGTTTCCAGGGATGGGACATCTACCACCTTTCTGGGCAGCCTGTTCCAGTGTCACCACCCTCATTGTAAAAAATATCTTCCTTATATCTAGACTGAATTTACCTTCTTTTAATTTAAAACCACTACCCCCTGTCATACCACAACAGGGCCTGCTAAAATGTCTGTCTCAGTTTTTCTTGTAGAGCCCCTTTAAGTAGTGAAAGGCTGCAGTAAGTATTCGAGTCTTCTCCAGGCTGAATAACCCTGACTTTCTAAGCCTTTCGTCATTGAAGAGGTGGTCATCTTCATGGCCCACCTCTGGAGTCCTTCCATCAGGTTTCTGTTTTTTTCTGGGCTGAGTATCCCAGAGCTGGATTCAGCAGTCCAGATGGGATCTCATGAGAGCAGAGCAGAGGGGGAGAACCCCCTCCCTTGGCCTGATGTCCATACTGCTTTTGATGCAGCCCAAGATACAGTTGGTTTTCTGGGCTTCAGTCATGTATTGCCAACTCATGTCCAGCTTTTCATCCACCAGCACCCCATGTCCTTCTTGCAGGGCTGCTCTCAGTCCATTCATCCCCCTGTCTGTATGGATACCAGCAGTTGCCTTGACCCAGGTGCAGCACCTTATTAATGTAATTTATTACAACACATTTAGAGTTTCTGTGATGGCCTTGGTTACTTATTGATTGCCTAGAGCACACTTCAAAGCCTTGACTTTTGTGACCCATTTGATATTCCTTGCTTTTTCTCTAATGTAACTTCTTCTTTTAATTGTGGGACAGAAGAAGTTTCAAGGCTTTTTGTTATTAATTTGTGTTAATTAACAGTGGCTATGTTAGCTTTAGTATATTCAAATAGATTTCTTTTTTAATTCACTAAACTGTAACTGTATAACAAATTAAAATTTTGTTGTTAAGCTAAATTTGAGAATGCCTGTATAAGGAAGACTTTCCAAAAATAAGCTATTTGGAATTAAATGCTTTTATTGTTTGATATATGAAATCAAAACCATCTTAAGTGAGTTTTGGTGGGTTTTTTCTTTTAACTGTATACATTATTGTTTTGCTTGGATAGCTCAAGATATGGTTAGACTTCATCCATTGTATGAAAGTCCATAGTTTTAAACATTTCTAACTAGGAAAAATTGTGATAGTCAAATGATAGAAGATTATATTAATTGATACTTTTAAGATGAATGTGATGATGACACAAATGACTAAGTTGACTAAAATTTCAGGTAGCTAACCAAACAAAATTTTTTATTTAAGAAATGGGTTTTTTAAATGGTATTTTAAATCTCCTCTAGAACTTCAAAGTAATTACATTTTTTTCTTTTTTTAGTGGAACAGCAAGTGAGGAAAAGGATTTGAGTGAGGTAAGTAACACTTTTTTACAAATAAGTCTGTTTTTTACTGTGTGCAAATTAGATTTTCTTGGGAGAACAAATGCTACTTTAGAGATTTTTGAGAACTAGGTCAAGTCAGATTTCCAGCAAAAGCTGGAGGCTCTTTCAGAGCTCTGAGGTTTGGCCATTTTGAACATTCACAGCAAGATAGAGTTAGCACACTACCTACTGTATTTTATAGAAACTGCTTCTTCTGTATTTCAGTCAGTAAAGTAAGTGTATGGGATTATGGTATATGGGTTATGTACCACAGAGTGGCAAACCACCAGCATGATAAAAACCTTGAAATTGCTTCTAAAAAAAAGTTACAATTAAGTTTGTCATGAATAATGATATAACTGCAATATTTGAGGGTGAGTCTGCTTATGAGCGAGAATCCTGTTGGAAAGGTTTCTTCCAAGAAAACAAAATTTCAATGCATACTTATCACTTAAATTGTATTGATGAAGACTGCCACCTCTGAAAGACATGAAATCTGAATAATCAAGCAGTAACATTCAACTAAACATGGAGGGTATTCTAAATACAAGAAAATTGTCATGGTTCAGAGCAAGCTCTCTAGCTGTCTCTGTCTCTAATCATAGGTCATGGGAGTGCGCCTTGGAGTTGCTGTTGAGACAAGGATAAAATATTTGACTAGGAATATAATCTCCCGTTCCCCAGACTGAATCCTGAAAAGTGCTGTTTTATATATCTATCCATCATGCACAAGTACTAACTATACTGTTCCCTGACACACTGTGGAAGTAAAGGAAGACCATAATCTGTCCAGTTCTTCTGCCTAAAAAAAAAATCTGCTTGCACCCTGTTCCCTCCTGCTTTTTCCAGAAGGCATAGTATGAGTTCAGTTTTTTTGACTCTTCTCCATTGTAATTCCTTCTGTGCAGGAGCATTTAAGCGTTAGAAGTTTTTGGAGAATGCTATTTAATTAATAATTCCTCAGATGTTCAAATAGCCCTTTGTTAAGTGAACTGGATTCAGGGAGTACAGAACGTGGACGTGTTAGGCTGAAGAATAAAAATTTAAATAAATATACCTGATTAATCTGAAGTAGGAAATAGGAAGACTTTTTTTTTTTTCCTGGATAGGTATTCTCCTTAGATTTCATTTCATTGAAAGATTTTAGTTAGGATCTAGCATTTCAGGCAGTTACTGGAGTCTTGTGAAGTGGTACTAGTATTTTATCATCTCTCTTAGAGTTATTTCAATTAACATGTCACAGGATCACTTTCGCATTTACACGGCTGCGACATGTTGGTAGTTTTATAGCCAATCATATGGTCACATAATTCTTCCAGATCTCCCTGCATTCCCCAACAATCCCTAGCATATAAGAGAAACTTATTAATATTCCCTAAGCACCTGGCCTTGCTGTTCATGCTATTAAATATCATCCTGTTTCTCTTACTGCAGTCCTCAAAGTCATACATTTCATTCTCTGAGAGTCAGACCCTTTGTATTAACAACACCGTATAGCTATTTCTTAAGATGCTTTTTGTACCCAAAGCATTATGTGAAATGTGTTCACAAGATTGAAAATTTTTTCCCCAACAGTATAATTTCTCCTTTTTGCACAATTTGTTTTCCTCTCCCTATTTGTCAATGAGTTGCTGAACAGTAAGGTTTGTGCAGTATTATGTACAAATAAAACTTGATATCCATCCCCAAATTCAATAACCTTTTTAAACAGGAAAATCATATTTCATACAATAGCCATTAGTCCTTCTGTCACAAAGTATCTCATTACATTTTAATTTTCATAGTAAAGAGGAGAATAGGGCAACTCCACCCAGATAATAACAGCAGCAAAAAGTAGTACAGCTTTCAGGCAGGCAGTTTTCCATTTCTGTGTCACATGGGGAACACCCATCATCCAACAGAACAGCCCTTTTGAGGTGTCAAATAGTTCAGTCTGGGTGGAAATGTGTTAATTCTATTAGTTGATAATGAGACTTCTGAAAAAGAGGAGTCTAAAAGATAGAAGGTCAGGTGGAGTTAATGAGACAGAAGAGGGACTGAAAGAGAAGACTAGGCAGAAGAAAAGAGTTGAGTTGCAGAAGGGAAGAGATTGAGGAAGAAGGTTATATCCTATTTTCTCAGTTTTCTAGAAGAAAACCAGTAAAATCCTGTGCAAAGTGAGGGTAATATTAGGTTTGGGAAGTAGGGGATTTAGCTCAGTAGGAAAAGTTGAACTATTTTGTCTCTCCCATTTTAAAATACAATCCATGGAACTCCTCTCCTGTTACTCAGATTTCTGTAATTTTTACTAGCTTACTAATTAGCAGTTGCAATCTGTCCAGAGATTGCTGGTTTTATTCCAGAAGTTCTCCTATCCAACTGTTTCAGTGAAATACTCTTACCTAAGCCCTAGCCAAATCTCCACCTCAAATACAGTCCTGTCGCTTTCTTTTCTGGATTCTGCTCCCTGCCTTTTAGGGCTGTAGTCACCCATCTCCCTTACAATTTGTCAAGTAAGCACATCCTTCAGAAATTTTCATTATCTCCTTTGTCAAACAATACCTTTCTGGTAAATTAAGGGAAATGCTCATCCTGTTCCACTTTTCTCTTTGTCTGTTTAAAAAGAGCAGACAAAACACCCAGAACAACCTTTCAGTTATTTCACTGGAAAATATTCAGCTCTTTTACTGTGCTAAATATTCAGAGATTTCTTTTTGTATTCCTGACTGGTCTTCTCTTGCCTAAATCTCAAATCTAAGTATGGTCATCTGAAGATTCCTAAATAGTGACTTAAGTACAGCATCTGAAATCCAGCTCTTGATTTTTCTCTTCTGTTCCCAAAATTGTGCCCCTTGCTGCTTTTACTTTTCTACCCTCTCTCCCTCCATGTTTATGGACATGGTCTTCATGGTGCTCTTCCTCCTAACTGTCCATCACACCCAGGACATACACATGGTCTTCAGAGTGTTCCTTTCCAAGAGCTTACATCCTGGCTGTCTCCTGGATACAGTTCCCAGGAACACCATTTTTAAGTATCCTTTCTCTGTGTGGTTAAAATTAGTCATGTAGTATCTTACACTTTTCTTTTGCTGATTAGCATCACACCAAAGTAAAAGTAAAAAGATATACTATGTAATCTTTGAGCTGGCATTCTTCCATTAAGGTTCATGCAGACTTCCTTCTTCAAGGAAGAAAGTAATCAAACTTAGATCCCTTCATCTGATCAGGCCCCATTTTCATTCTACAATTATTTCTACCTCCAAATGTCTTCGAACAAGGTAGTTTATCTCCTTTTGCCCTCTGCTAGGACCTGTGTAGCAAGTTGGGATGATTGATTCCACACGTTTTCCTGACTGGAGCCTGTTTTGATCAACTTAGTATTTGTAAATTTCCTCAGAGAGACTGATGGGCTAACCTCTTCCATCCCATCATGACTGTAGTATAGCCCTGTTGCAGGCAGTTCTTGAATTTTGTTTTTCTTTTAGTGGAAAATGAAAGTTTAGTGTATTGCCTTGTTCAAATTTTTGATTTGTGAACAGTGACCAGAGTAATATCACATTGCTATGATGTCATCTGTAGACCTGTAAGAGTTGATAGTCTACAATAGATTGGTTTTAATTTTTTTAACCATACAAAAAAGATGTAATTCGTGTATGAAAAACTATTATATTTCATTTTTGTTTGTTCCCTTTGAAGCAAATTTTTTCAATATGTTTGAAAAGTTTGATTTGAAATGAAGTATTTTTCTTTGGAAGAGATTACATTTATAAGAAAAAATTTCCATATTCAACATTTTGTAGTAAAAAATCTAAAGGAGTTTTACCATTTCAAATCAATAAAGGAGGAAGAAGAACATGATGAAGATGCTGATAGTGTAGACAATGAAACTGCTAGTCATGAGAGATCTCAAATAAAGGAACGCATTGCCAAGAAGTTGAAAATTGATACAAGTGAAAATGCTAAACAGCAATCTGAAGAGGAAGAAAATAAGCCAGAAAAGAAAACAACTAGTCGCAGGTAAGGGTTGTTTTATTTGTTTTGGTCTTTTTTCTTTATGTTATTTACAGGTAAAGGTTTTCTTCTCAATTCCAGTTTTGCAGTTATAATGTTGATAGGGTAAGTGTTACTTAAAAGTACTGCCCCCTGCCCACCTCGAACTGTGGAAGATGAGCTTGCCTATTGCTTTCTCATTTCTTAGTTTTGTTTGGCAGTTTGAACCAAGCAGGTAAGTTACATTTTGTTACACTCAGCACTTATTGATACCTTCTATGGGAGTTTTATTTTTCCCTGTGAGTCAGAAATGAAGAGCATTTGTCTTTGTCATGCCTTACTTTGTCTTTCTGCTCAGTTGTAAGATGGAGTTTTGTAGCTTTATCTGTGATAACACATAGTAGTTGTCCATCACTGAGACTTGCAGAAAACAAAGGCTTCCTAGCCATCTGGTGAAGTCTGGTTTAACAGAGTAATCATTCTTGCAGTGTACCGGCTTTTCCACACTGTAGTTGGTTTTTCTTTACGGATATAAAAGCGTTGGGTTCCTGTCTCGTAGTTTAGTTGTGCCAGTCTTTGTGAATGTCTGTACTGATTAGCACTCAATTTTCAGTGAGTGAATTTGTTTTCTTGGAGTCTTGTGTCTTCACAGTCTTTCTTGCAGAGTGGGTTTGGGAATTTCTGCCAAATAATGTTGAAATTGCATAAAAACACTCATCACGTATGCAACTGATGAGTAGTGGCTCTGATGTCAAACTTACTAGGAATTATTATCCAGTATTTCAATAAATATGGATTCCAGAAGTTACTGAAAAATTAAGACCTTGCAGTTAAAAAGTTAAATGTATAAGTTTACTTATTCAGTGAAGACTTACGGGGGAAACATCAGAAAGGTGGTTTAGCTTTTGTGCTCTTAACTCTGCGCAATAGCTCTAGAAACTAAAATGTTCGTGGGATTTAAGTGGGAAATTGTGTCCTTTTCTACGTCTTCCCCACTATTGATTTGCATCTCAGAGTCACGTCAGGTACAGTCAAGAAACCTTTGTAATTTGAGCAAATCCAAATTGGTTCCACTTACTTTTTCTCAGGCCTAGATGGTGTTACTTCTGAAGTTCCTCATAATTTTATGTTTGCTGAAGAGAGGACTCAGTACACTTAATAGCTGGAGATATACAAGCAAGAGCATTTGACATCAAAGACCCAGCACAATAACAAAAATAAAGATACAGTAAACAAAACCTGTAATTTAAATGTATATTAGATATTTCTGTCATGTGATTTCCTTTTAGTTAGAGGCAAGGCAACCAACTTTCATACTTAGTCAGACTTTATGAAGTCAGCAAGATCTGTATGGTCAGTTCTGTAAACTGATGTTAATCCATTTCTTTTGGAACAGCACGTAAATCTGATCTTTTGTAGTCATGTGACGATATTGTGCTGGTTTAAAGGTAAACCAGCAGGGGAAATGAACTCAACTCAAAAGAGAGATTATAAGTCAGAATAACAATTTAATAAAATAATACAATAAGTATGATTATACAGACAAACAATTGGTTTTAACCCACAAAACTCAAATGTATAACCCAGCACCCTGGGGCATGAACAGAGTGGTGTTCTTTGGCCCCCTTGAGTCCAAAGTAAAAGGAGAGGGGAAAACCTGTTGCAGTCTGGTTGAAAAGTGGTGGTTGCAGTCCAGTCAAGAGCGGTGGTCTGCAGTCTGGTTGGGAATGGTGGTCTGCAGTTTGGTTGAGAGCAGTGATCTGCAGTCTTTCTCTGGATCCCACGAGTGGTTAAAAAAGTCCCAAGACTCCAAGATTATATATCCTCCAGTTCAGGCAGGAATGCTCAGTACCTCCCTCAGGGCGGGGGGTTCTTTAATGGGTGTGAGGACAAGAGTACCCTCCTATCTCACAGGCCTCTTAACACCTAGTTTATAGCCTGAGGAGTCAGGCTCTATGTGCAGATGGTGTAAATGGTTCATTGATACCAGTTTCTGGGAAATGGCATGGAAGGCTATAGAATACACAGTTTTGGGTTACACCCATCCAGTGATGAACTAGTCCCAGTTGTTCTAACTAGGACAGATATGTACACCATGATAAAACTCTAATTCATGAACATTGGTTTTTAGTTTTCATTGTTTCTTTCTCTCTACAAAAGCATGTGAGTCGCAGTACATGAAATATAGTGTCGTGATTTTATGGCTATGTTAGATATAGCTAGGTACTTTTACAAAGAACATATACAAGACATCTTATAAAAACCTGTTGCCTTGTTTTCCTTTCTGATGTCTTTGAAGTTGTGCTGTTTGCTGCTTTGGCAATTGGTGGCTGTACTATCTTTGCTGTAGACAGTTGGTCCACAGGAAATATACTGATGTATACTGATATTGATGAGTATGATAGATAACTTTGATCCCAAAATCTGTTTTCTAGTCCTGTGGTTGAGATTGACACATAATCCCACTGATAAGTTACATAAATATTTATCTAGTGTCGGTTAAAATGGCTTTATATTAGTATGTTGGACAAGACTACATGGTGGTAGTTTTCTTTCTCAAATCTTGCAAACACTGGGCTGACGGTTTTCTGACTGCAGAAAGTAGTTGTTCCTAGTTTTCAATACTCTTGCCTTCAGTGATTGATTAGTGTTGCACCCTAATAATGTTTGTGATAATGCCCATAATATTCTCCAATACAGAATAAGTTTAAGCTTCTCAGATTGAATGAACTGTTCTTGATCATGGAGACTGAACAAATACAGATTAGTGTTAAATAGCTGTATCAGATAGTAGAGGCAAGGATTCAGAAATTTGAAAGGACTCCAAGAAGCTCTGTGAAAAAGAACCTTGAAGTATATGCCAGCAAAATAACATCCTAAGAATACCAAGAAACTTTGGAATCTGTTTGTATTTACTACCTACCTGTACTACCTACCTGCCCACTAATCATTTTAACTATCTCGGGGGCTTTATAGGGGTGGCTACTGGAAATAAAATGGTCTAAGGTGTAATAGCAAGTTTGTAGCATGAAGGAAACACAAAGCTAGAGGATACCCTTAGGAATGAGATAGTCAGTGCCCAAGCTTGCATGATGTTTTGTCCTATTTTCAGAGACGTGCATAGTAAGTCTGTAAGCTGCTGGCTCTGATTGTGGTTATTCCATTCTTTCAAGGTAACAGTAGTAGTATTATAGCCAAATGGGTTGTCTTAACTCAGAAGAGGCTTTTATGGGTTGTATTTTTAGCAGTTGGGAGTTATAGCCTTGGGTGACACTGCTTAGCATCACAAGTAACATAAATTTCTAGACTTACTGTTTTCCAAATAATTGTCTGACATCCTCTGGCATGAAAGTCAAAGCCATTACTGTTTGTAATAAAGTGTTATTAAATTAGAGGTCTGATGAGATAAAGTAAGATAAACAACATCAAGTTTCATTGTCTGAAATAGTGACTATTTTCTAATGTACTGGAGATGGTAGATAATATACTCATGGGTGTTCACCACCCACTGTAGTCGAAGTCTGTGCTGATCAGAGGCAGAGATGTGGGAGGTGCAAACATCAAGCAAAAAGTTGGATGGACCATACATAGCTTGAGGGTAATGTCTACTAACATATCAGTTGGCCAAGAAACATCTGATACCTATCAAAATTGCTCATCTTATCAGATATTTAAATGTGCTAATAGAATAATTGAACTAAGAATATTTTTTCAATGTACTGTCTTTAACGTGCGTAATTTTTTTTGCAAATCTGTATTCATTTGGATCGGTCCTGTTTCTTTCAATACAAACGCATGTGTGAAATCTGAAGGTTGCACATCTGTTTCAGAGAATCAATATGGAAATAATAGACACCATCTCAAATTCATAGTACTGAGATCCAGTACCACTTCTAAATGCAATCATATTGAAATGCTCAAATGGTGAAAGTAATTTTAGTCATTTCAGTATGCATTTTAACCTTCTGTGTATGTTTTAAAAAATAATTGCTATACTTTAAAATTGTATATTAGATAAGAAACCTCAGGAAAAAGAGTTTCCCTCTAATTCTGGCAAGTTGTTAGAGAAATTCCACAGGTCTGTTGTTTTTTTTATACAGAGCTTAAACCTAGACTTCAAAGTATAGAACAGCTGCTTACATGAAAGAATGTATGGAGATAGAAGTGTTTTGCCATCACTGCAAGAGTAATCAACTTTATCAGCATTGCATTGAGTTTGTAAAATGGCAGTGGCTTAAGATGACCATCTGAAGGCTTCAGAGTAAATAGTCCTCTTCTAGTTTGGTAATTAAAAATATTTTTTTTACAGTTCTTTGTATCCTGTAGGTGGAGCTCGGGCGCTACACATTTCTCATTACCAACTTTAAAAATTTTCAGTGCTTCTTGTTTGCAAGACATGCAGTATGTAAATTTGTAGAGAGTGTAGTTCGGTCAGTATTTAGCTAGGAAGTGTAGTCTATTCCAGTATTGAGATACATTGCTCCTAACAGTACCTCATCCAGTTTTACATTTTAATTTGTCTGCATTTAGGTTGTAGCAAATTAATTTTTTTCCTGTGGCTTTTTCTGAAATTCACTGCAGTATGCTGTATTTTTTCTTACTTCAACTACTTAAATTCTAATTGAGTCCTTTTGATAAGCTGTACATGTTGAGTTCTTTCAGTCTTTCACTGCAAGACATTTTTTCCAGTCCTCACATCACTTTATGGCTTGGGGTTTTTTTTCTTCTTTAATTTTTCAACCTTCTTTAAAGCACTTTAATCATTAATCTCTTATTAGCCTTGGTAGTGCTGTGTACAGCGAGCAGCAACTCTTTTTTTTTTCTTACTTCCACCTCCCTGTTCATTCATAGATTGACCATATCAGTCCTTGCTGGTATTCCACTGATACAATTATGTTGCTAGGTCTTTCTGGATTCTTTTCAGTCATCACTCTCTGAGAACTAGTTTCTCATTTTGTACATTTATTCTGTTTTTTACTTCCTAGATTGTGGCAAATAGCTGTCTTTGGCTTTTGTTTTGTTTAGCA